CAGATTAGGAGTACCCATAACCGACGAGCATGTATGTGTAGATATATGGATGTAAAAGAGGCGAGAGAGGTGTGTCAGGATCGCGCCAAATGGAAGTCCGTAGTCTCTGCCTACCCCTCTGGGTGACAGGTGTGAGTGTTTATATATATATATAAACATATTTGTATATAAAATGTAACAATAATTATTTTATGGAATTCACAAATCTTCAATTTACGCAATATTTAGTTTGTATGGATTGCACTACAGGTCAGTTGAACATAGTCAATGTTCGGAATGGCTTCTCTAGTACGTAGTACATATAACTCAATGGTGACACGTAATTTTTATACATAAAGATAGGGAATAAGATAAGATGATAAATTATTATGTATTTCTTTAATTAATTAAAAAAGTACTTTCTTCTTAAAATTCAGTTATAAAAAAATGAACCAATATACTACACTACACCAAAAACATGTTTATGGAAGGTTATCAAATAATAACAAGCAATAATTGTTTGTTTGACCTCTACACTTTAGAAAAATAATTATCTGCAACAATATCAATGATAACTCAATCACCATTATCCTATCTCATAACAGTTTTTGTGGTTGATAAAAGGAATTATACAATAACAAGACCCCTAGAAAGAGACAAAAAAGTGGATTGCATTAAACATAAAAGTTAAGATTTAAATGCTATCAATATTACAAAGAATAATACAAAAACAAATATTTTTAAATGGCACAAGTGTTATATAGGTAGTTATTGAAATAAACTTAAAATTTTAATAAAGCAAAAAGGTCTATTTAAAGAATAATAAAAAAAAATAAGAAAATACCTAGAACTTGATCTTCATTGGCCACGATGTTTTTAAAAGTAAATTTAATTATTCTTTACCCCATCATTAGTACAAAACTACAGTTGTTACTAAATAATGCACACAAAATTCTCATTAAAAATAAATCAATATAAAAATTAAAGTATAAGCACATATTTACCGTATATATTGACCCTGTTTAAATTAAATGACTTGTCTTGATTATTTGCACTTAGTTTCCGATTTATGAATTATAATTTGTATAACCTCTTTCTTTGTATAACCTATTTCTTTCTAAACAACAATGCTAAAAATATTAAATTCACGTGAATTTGTTATTTAACCTTAACTAAATTAAACATAATTTTAAGTTGGAGGAACTACGATCATCAATGAAGGCAAAGAGTTGGCAACCCAATAAGGGTATATATATGTAGCTGCAAAGTGCAACTGCAACCGCCAAGCCTGCAACTGACAAGTGACAAAGACAAACTGACATCTGATGGCTCCAGTACACGTTGGCCGAGCGCGCTCGCCGAGTGCGCTCGGCCAACGTGTACTGGGCCGTTTTGTATATATTTGGCGTTTGCGGCCAACGCTCGCCGACGAGCCGTATAGTGTCGGTTTTCCGTGCACAAATCAAAGGAATTTGGCGCAAGCCGCAAACAGTGTTCACACGTTGGCCGAGTGTTCAGTTCATAGTTACGCGTCGGAGTAGACTGTAGTGTCGGCTTAATAAAATTGTTTCAACATGGCGACATGAGGAAATATTTATTTATTTATTTAACAGTTTATGTACACACATAATTCGATAGGAAAATGGTTAAAACATAATTATGTACAAAGGCACTGCCTATTCCATGATGAAATTTCTTCCAGCAGGCCTATTGAAGGATAGTTGAAGGAAATAGAGGTAGTCAAAGTGTGTACTTACATAAATATACATATACAATACAAATATACATATACAATACAAATTTACACACACACACACACACACACACACACACACACACACACACACACACACACACACACACACACACACACACACACACACACACACACACACACACACACACACACAAAACACACACACACACACACATACGCATGTATATATATAAATAAATATTATATATTATGAAAAAATATATAATTCAATATAATATATTTTTAATGTTACTTATATGCATACCAATACATTACGATTTAATAATTATGGAGTGAAATATTGATTCATTGTTCATTGATTGATTCTCACAATGAATCAGTTATATGGAACCCCAAATATGAGCAACATAAAAATAAAACCAGAGTATAAGTAACTTGCCTAACTGCATTAAATAATACATGTTTAGTTGCGATTTCAGAGTACCTACCTAATGATAAAGATTATTATAAATTATCTCTGCGTTTATGTTGCTCAGGGATAATGTAGCTTAGGGGCTTCTTTTGGGCTATCATTTATTTTGAAAAAACCCCCAGCGAAGCGGGCACGGGTCAGCTAGTAGATCCTATAAAGGTTTCTTTTTCCTTTTGAGGTCGGAACCCTAAAAATGACAAACTGGGATTATTGTTGTATGTGTAGTTTTTTTTTCGTTCACTCTGAGAAGAGTGAAGCGCTGTATAAGTATATGACAGCTGCCGCGATTGCCCTAACGTCCATCATCATCTAGCTACCAACGCAGAATGAAACACGCCAACGTGTGAACGGCACCACGAAAATCTGCCGAGTGCGCTCGCCAAGCGCGCTCGGCCAACGTGTACTGGAGCCATGACAATCATGATGACATGAGTGACATGAGTCATGACATGACATGACAAAGTGTAAAATTATAAATGTCAAATTCGGATGTACATTTGGAATTTTGGTGGGAACTTGATCGGCGGCGGCTTGCTGCTCCTGTATTATTATTGTTTAAATGATGGTTTGAAGTAGACTTTGATATATAAAAGTGGTGCGATTTTGTGTATTAAGTGTCTGCGCATGTAAACTATTAGTGGAAACTGTGAAACAAGTGCTCTGATGGTGATGGATTCTCAAGATAAGCTGTTTGTTTGCATAGGCGCCTTTAGATACTATCGCCAACTGTCAGCTGCCTGCTGGCTCAAGTTGCCGTCAAAATCTCCCAAGGGCTGCACAATGTGACGCATCAACATATTGTGAAGCAGTAAACTGTGAAGAATAATTACACATGAGGACAAGGCTGTATGGCATAGTTCCTTTGCCTGCTCTCTCGAGCGAATAATAAAAACAACACAACAACTGATGTACATTTTTAATTCTAAATTAAAAAACTATAATAAAAAAAAAATAAAACTAGTAACTTAATTATCATATAGCCCTACTCCTCGCGGTAGCGTGCCAAGAACGCTGGCTGCGTTTCCCCGCTGTGTTCAGATGGCTGCTTTGCTGTTGCTAGTACTACTACAAGTTTTATTTTCATTATTTCTAGAGGAGGGATCGAACGAGCATGCGGCTCACCTGACGGAATTGTCAACCGCCGCCCATGAAAAACTGCAACACCAGGGGAATTGCAGATGATTTGCCTGCCCTTTAAAAAGGAGTAAGGTCATTTCTTGGAGGTCCCTAAGTCGACTAGGTCCGGAAAAATCGCCGATAGTAAATGTTTCCACATAGTAGTCGAGAGCTAATAATTTTCCACTCACCAAATGTGACTAGTGGCGGCTGAGGTAATGTTTTTGTTACACAATATCAGTTAATTTTAAGAAATGTTTTCAATAATAGTTTAGCAGTTTCTAGAGTATTATACTTAGACTATTCAAGCTAAATTGGGTTATTGGCGGAGTAAATACCTTAGACCCTAAGGTATTATATTAATACACTAAATAATGACTCAGTTTCTCCTTTTAGTTAGATCCACAGCTTTGATTTATTCATTTAATCTAATTAATATAAAATACTAGCCAACCTCCCCGGCTTCTCACGGGTGATTTCTGGATCTTGACAAAATCCCAGTAGATGACGGTTTTGGCGTCCAAATTTAAATCTACGTTTACTTTTGGCATAAAGATGTATATTATGCTCTTTGGCCAAAAGCGATTTGCCTTTTTAACCAGCGTAATCACAATCTTGTACCATAACACAACCTTAATTTTTGTCTGTTGTATGTCCGATCACATTGCACTAAAAAGGCGCGCTCAGAAATTTCGAGAGCGTACGCCCATGTGATGTGCACGTATTGAGGGCTAGCAAAAAATAGCGAATATTTAATTAAAATATTTAATAATGGAGGTGAAAAGATAAACATGCCTACGGTATTAATGTTACATAAGCCATCGTATCATAAGCCATAGTAATACACGTTTCTAATAAGGGAGCTCCTTTTAATTTTTGTTATTTGTTATCGCGGCAATAAACATACACATTCTGTGAAAATTTTAACTGTCTACCTATTATGAATCATGAACTACAGCTCGCTTACAGACAGATGGACGGACGGACGGACGAACGGACGGACGGACGGATGTACAGCGGAGGCTTACTAATAGGGTCCTGCTGGTTAATGTTTGGGTACGGAACCCAAAAAATCCAAATTTGTAGTGCACAAAACTATTTCAGGACAAATGAGAATTTGAACGTGTTTTATACAAGTGTTTGTGTACTCTGAATAATACGTTAAGTAAAAAGAGATAACTACAGCAAAGGACAAAATTCCTATCATAATATTTTACGGTGTAAATGCTTTTGTTTTCAAGTTACCTTGTAATCTTTTTTTTTTAATTTTTTTTAAATAATAATCAAATAATAATCAAACAAGAAAAAATGAGTTTTAACGAGAAGTCGACCCTCGGCGGATTGTTACTCATATGTTTAATGGGTTGACCTTACTTAGGCGCATTGAGGTATTTTCAACAGTCTCCTGGCTCAAGTCTGCTGTCGAAATCTTCCAAAAGCTTCGCAATGTGAGGCATGAAGAAATTTCTAAATAAATTGAAAAAAAATGATAATATCTTATTACTTAACACTGGCAAAAGTACCATAGTACGAGGCCATTACCAATGATAAAAAGCAAGAAAATTTCGCTTTTGGCGCGTAAACCGAAACCTTTAAAAATGTCGGCGAACATACACCACTGATAATTTAATATAACTTGTGAAATATTTTACGTTTTAGATAAAAACTTTTAAAATAGTGCTAAAATATACCCATATTATTAATTTCAAATAAATAATGAACGTTGTACAAAGGGACACGCGAGTTCCCAAATTTAAACAACGATTTAAAAATGAACTTGTGAGAAAGGATGCATCTTTAGGTAAGAATTATTAGAAACATTTATTAATTAAGGAATAAACACTTGTAAGCGTCCGTGTGTAGTGATCAACTACTACTGTAATTGTCATTCATAAAAAAACATGTTTAAAATATTTTTGTTTCTCGTTCCTAACTATCCACCAACTTAGTTTTTATGGTAATTGCTAATTATAAATCATTGAATACATCGACTTGATTAGATATTAATCGATGTTATCTACACACTTGTGGTATTTCACGGACTGCTCCTCTATATTTTGGCATGTGAACAATCTGTTTGACTAGGCAGTACAATCGCGGAGACTAATATTGAAAACTAACTCACAAAAGAAACTGAAAAAGAACATAGGTTTAAGAACATAAGGTGCAATCATAGTTTATCAAAGAATTAAAACTTCCGATTTCAGAAGTTATTAAAGTTACAGGCCTCCTCTCTTTTCTCGTTTTTAACGTAAGGAATATCCGCCGCGCTGTCCCAATACGTGTTGAAGAACTTCAGAAGTTATTATGTGAAAATTATTTTATTCTTTTCATTTCTTTTGAAGTCAGCTTTTACTGTTAACCAGGTTAAATTTTTTAACCCTTTTGAGTGACTAATTGAAAATGTGTGGAATGTTTTCTTTAAATTAACATGGGACCATTCTTGAGATAACCCTTATTTAATAAAAAAAAAGAATCATTAAAATCAGATCACAATTGCCGAAGATACCTCGTAACATATATATAAAATTATTATTTTATTTTATACAAGGTAGAGTCATGCTGCAGCTATATTTTATGTCTTTACACGAATGGATTGGCTCGGCTGGAAAAGGACCACGCTCACACAGGATAGGTACCAAATTTCCACTATTATTACATTTCTCACTATACATATAAAACGAACGAACGAAAACGAACTATGAATGAGCACGAATCGCGAGACCTGCGCCGACCCTCGCAGCTTGCTGCCACAGGCCATGACCCCGTTGGCCCTAGGGTTATTACGCTACTGTGCAGAAGGACCACGTTTACACAGAATATGAAACAGCATAACGTGTACTGTACTGTGCTTTGTATGGTGAGTGAAGAACACAGTAGACCCTTTTTAATTAACTAACGAGATATTCCATCTTATTCCTTAAGGGTAACAACGCATCTGCATATTTAAGGATGGATATAAGTGTCTATGGGCCACAACATCCAATTAACATCATCTGTGTGCTCGTTTACCTCTATAAAGATGTGACTCTACACTCCCAAAGACAAAATTGCTGTGATGAAAAACTAATGAAAACTACAGATTGTAACATTATCGTAGGTATTCGAGGTGGTATGGCCATTTTACCACCTAATAAGGTACCACGGTATCAATTTAATGCAGAAAACAGAACGGCAACTCTAAAACGAACATCGGCAATGGGACCTCCTTTAGGGTCGCCCCGAAGTCTTAAGCGCAAGTAATTATTCTATAAATATTAAAGTTTGTTATAAATTATTTTCTATAGTGTAAAACAATTTAGGTAATAAATTTAATCAATCATTAGAGTAGGCTGCCGTACATAGATCCTATAGATTAACAAATAGGGTCATTGGCTACAGTTGCCGCCACGCTTGATTTTACAAGCGGGTTAGCAACAACAGTTTTTTATTAGTTTTGAGTTGCTATCAAAAAAATGCTGCTGGCCATTTTCAAAGACAATAAAAATTTAAAACTTACACTGTTAGCTTTTTTAAGCTATTTATTAAAATATAATGTTGTTTTACTACATAAACATGAAAATCCTTTTTTACGAGATTAAAAATAGTTTACCACTACCCTTTGCAATAATTTCTGGTGGCGGCGAGATAGAGTTCATCGCCCCATTTGTTCCCGATGGTGTCGACTATGAGAAATTTAATAAAATCTTATAACTCTGATGGATGGTATACTATCTCGATTACGCCAGATGTAATATAACCAGATCGGCGGAGGGCAGCAGTGTCAAAGGTGATAGACGTCTGGTCTGTACTGAGTAATTTAACTTTAATCGTCAATCCTCCTTTTTTATAGGAGAGGGGGCTAACGAGCATGCGGCTCACCTGATGGTAAGTGACTACCGCCGCCCATGAACAAATGCAACAACAGGGCAATTGCAGATGCGTTGCCGGCCTTTTAAAAATGAGTAGGCATGATGTAGCAAATCCTCCCTACAACAGAAGAGGTCCAAGTGTTGTTTTTACACATATTTATGTAAGAAACGTGAATCTTTTAAAACTCCAGCAACATACATTTACTTTTACCGTTATTGTTACAGCCTATTAAAGTCCACTGCTGAACATAGGCTTCCCCTGTAGATTGCCTCATAAGGGGGATATTTGAAATAGTTGCCACGTTTGGCAAGCGGTTTAGTAACCGATGCTTTTTATTTTTAGTCGTTATTAGGAAGACGCTGCTGCCCGTTCTCTGATTTCTTTCCCTCTGTCGCTTCTTAAGACACCCACGCAATTATATGGGGTAGTGGATATTCTTACACCGTCACTACACGGTAATCATTCACTTTTAATGTTTGATAATGGTATATGAATAAAAATATAACTTGATATTTCAGCAATGTGTCTCCGACAAAATACTGACAAATGGTACACAACTAAATTTTTCTAAAAATTATAAAATTATTAATTTGACTTCGCAACAATGTATTTAAGATTCCTTGTGTAATATTTCTGAGATCACATAATTAACACAATATGACCTTTAATTCTTTAATACTATTGTATGGCACGTGAATTAAATAACTAAGTACGTCGAATAATAACAATTATTGTTCTCACTTCAATTAATAATATGAAATATTATTACCGCTTATCAGATGCAGTTTATATTGTGTTTCTGTTCAGTGTTACAATTAACATAACGTAATACACACATCAAAAGCTTTTACAAATTACTGTTGGACGTAGGACATGGGCATTCACCTGTCCTCGGGGATTGACGGATAAGGCTCTGGCGCGCGGGAGACCCATCCAAAAATTATACATAAACGTTACAACATTAGGATTATCTCCTGTATCGTGTAGGCAGTTTACATATATAAATTACATTTGCATTGCACATCTGTAGGCAATACAAATATTTGTTCCGTGGGACATTCGAATAAGCGGTCTTCCTGTGCTGTAAGCCATCATCACACCCTTTATCCCGATTTTTTTTTATAGAATAAGGGTAACATACGAGCACACAGTCCACCTAATGGTGATTGCTGTGACCCATAGACATCATTTATCCTCAGTAAAAATCAAAATGCAGATGCGTCGTCACCCGTGAATTCTAAGATGGAATACTTCTTTTCCAGTAAAATGGGTCTCGGGTTCTTTACACTCACCATAACTCAGCAGTGTCAAGCTGCCATTTTACGCTGGTATTATGTGAGAGCGTGGTCCTTCCCCGGCCGAGCCAACCCGTTCGTGCTACAACTATACTACTAATATAGCTGCAGCATGGATCTACCACGTATTTCAAACGATGGATGAGTCTGTTAGTCTGAATAAGATGATCGTAATCAATTCAACGATTTCTACTTTTCAAGTTAGTTAATAAGATTAAAATCAGCAGTGCAATTGTGTAACTCTGAAGGGAATCATTTGCCGGTGGAAATCACGCGTCCGCAGCCGTGTTTTTTCTTTCTTTACGATAGTAATTGTTATTAAGCCGTCTAGTTGCACCGTACGAGTTTCCACTACCTCATATTATCATCCATTGCGTCGCTGCATCTAATAACTACGCAACATAGATAATAAACAACTGTAATTGGCCGGCTGTCAATCGAGGCAGCTGTTGCAAGCTCCTCCATATAAAGCAATCTAGGGAGGCCTAAGTACAGCTGTGGAATTTTAAAAAGTTGTAATGAATTAAATGGATAAATGACAATGACAAAAGACCGGCTTACAATCGATAACATAACAATAAAATTTAGTGTGAAAATAATTCCTAATTCGTAAATATTTTATACTGCCTAGGATTTTATATAATTCAAGCTCTGCGAAACCAGAATCTTCATCGAGTGGTCAAGCAAGACCTAGGATATTAGCAAGTGACTCTGGTGCAGCGGATACGTCGCAAGATTTCGTTACGCCGAAAAGAAGACCGCAGGCCATTAGATACATAAGTAGCAGTAGCAGGGGTGAGATCTTTTTTTTTTGTACAACCCGCGCTTAGTTTTAACGAACGCGCGGTACGCGATCGACGGAATGAGGGCTAATAATTTTCTGCTCACCAGATGTCCCTAATTTAGTAGTAAAGTTTTTTGTTACACAGAGTAATTTAATTTAGAAGTTGGTTTTTAATAAAAGTTTATCAGTTTCTATAGTATTAAATTAATACACAAAACAATGCATCAGTCAAAAAAAAGTTTTTAACCTTTTTTAATTTTTCTACTTTTATGAATATCTGTGTTTTGGTTTATTTATTTTTAAACTTATTAATATAACATATAGCTGATAGTGCAGAAAGAAACAATAAGTTTTACATTTTCCGAACAAATTAACTTCCCCGCTATGAAATCTGTCAAATATTATACCTCACTTTCTAGTGGCGCCGCCCTGGTGGCAGAAAAAGTCGTGGATGTCCTCATTGGGAAGAGTGATCATCGGCAAAGCTACGTGCACGAGCAACTTTTAATTATTTATATATCCGTGTCTTTCAGGCTAGTTCCCTCTTATAACTCTCCAGGACAATATGCACACCAAGTTATAATTAAAAAAAAACCCCTATTTAAAAAAGCTAAATTTTCATTAATCCGAGTATAGACTATAATAAAAATATTTTATTTTATCGGACACGATTCTTTTCAGTGTTATTATTTTACTTTACTAATTAAATAAATTATTCAATAATATGCATTTTATCTACTTGCTTGCCCTCCATTTCTCTGTACAGAGCAACAAACTAAAATCGAACTTCTTAAAATAATTAAAACACTTTCAGTAATAGTTTTGTCTCCGGTACCGTCAGCTGTGACGTAATAATGGTCGACGACGGCAAACTCGAAATGAACACGTAGTAAAATGTTTCGTTACGTTTACGTAATTAGGTACGTTTACGTAATGTTGTTTATGTCCAACGATTGCTCGCGAATTGCTTTATGTGGCTCCGATATAATGTCAGCGTTGCGGTAACTCCCATGCTGTAGCTTTATTTTGAGTTTGTAGACGTTTTAACTTCAATCCAGTCTGAACTTTGCTGTTCTAAAGTTATTATTTAAAGTAATTGGAGCAATTAATACACATGTTCTTTCTTCCTGTAAAACAATAAACAACAATGTATGTACAAATGGGGTAAGTCCCGCATACACCTAGAACAAAATACTTATATCGCATGAGTAACAGTAACAGCCCACAGAGCCGGTAAATGATAAGTAAACAGGTTTATTATACTTGTTTTTGATCACGATTCTTCCCCGCTATCGACTAAGTGATTCCCCTTTCATTGTGATCGGGGGAATATCGACATTTAAAAAACGTTTTGTCCTTATCTATATAAACAAAATGAGTAGAGGTTTGCAGTTGAGCGCCCATCACGGAAAAGCTACTAAATATATTTCAATTAGGTTTTCTACGCTTTATTTCTTAAACACTTAGCCCTTATCTAAAAAATATCTCTTATATAAATATCCATATCTTCCTGTAATATAAAGTTATAAAATTTTTAAGAAACAACGATTTTTATAAGCACTACGTGGTCAGTGATGTGTGTTTTCTTGATAAATCAAGTAACGCGAACAATGTCGCGGGTATCAACTAATCTTAAATAATTATAACAAGCGCAGAATTTAATTTCCGTAACAGTGTTTAATCAAATATAATTAATTTTATTAAATTTGATTTCATTTATTTACATTTGCATCTTAAAAGGTAAAAACCACGAATGTATAATACTTACGAGCACTCGTAGCAAATACAAGTGGTAAATTTAAAATTTTGTACAAACGACTTCAATATGAAATATGAATATATTTTACTGTCGGTTTTTTAAATACCCCTCGATCGATTTCGATAAAATTTAAATAGGACCACCTGGGAAGTATAACCTTTGAAACAAAATAAGAATTTTCCAAATCGGTTCAGGCGTCTTTTAGTAATCAGCGTACATACATTAAAAATAGATTTCGACGAATTGAGAACCTCCTTCTTTTTTGAAGTCGTTTGAAAATGTATATATATATATATATAATACCGTATGAGCCGTGGTAGCGCAGGTGCTAAGCACTCGGTGTAGGATAATGGTAGATAGATATTATGGTCGATAGATTCTAAGTATCATTTAGAGATGTAAACTTAAATGACTTACATGTAAATTTAGATGATGCTTAACACGGAAAAAGATAAACGGGTAAGATTATTAACTCACGTGCTCGTCTTGTTATTTTTACCACGTGAGTTTGGACCACATGAGAAGTACCAACTTTCAAATAAAAAAAACAATCATTGAAATCGGTTCACGCAGATAAAAGTTATGAGGTAACACACATAAAAAAAACAATCAGTCGAATTGAGTAGTAGCCATCTCCTTTTTGAAGTCGGTAGAAAAAACAAAAAGTCTTTGAAAGAAATGACAAAATTACTACGACAACATCTCGCACTTTCGGATATAAAAGTTTCTGCGATTTTTTAATAGGTGGCTACAGTGGAACTAGGTCTGCACGTTCGACTTCCACTTCTGTGGTTGAGGCCAGTGTTATTTTAGGTAAGTATTCTACGGATACACACAGAAACACACATAATTTTAACTGTCATTATTCATCATTAATTTTTGATATTATTAGATTATACCATAATCATCATGTTTGGCAGAGCTATTATGTCTAAGTATATGGCGTAAGAGGAGCCCCACCACCTAGTAAAGCATCCTAGCCCATCTTCAATTTATATACATATGTTAAACATCTCCAAGATACAAAGGAATCTTAACATAATATGATAACTTTTATCAAAGAAAAGATAAAAACTAAACAAAGAGATTGATTTTATTTTTATCTTTTCCTGTGTATCATGCAACGTTAAGACACCCAAAGGTTGTAGATTAGATTTTTTTTATAGAATAAGGTGACAAACGAGTACACTGAAATCAAAATGTATATGTTTTGTCACCTCTAAGGCCTAAGATAGAATGCCTCGCTAAAATTAAAAAGAGGTCTCCGAATTTTTCAACGTGGTAGAGCCATGCTGCAGCTATATTAATTATATAGTTGTAGTACGAATGGGTCGGCTCGACCGGGGAAGGATCACGCTCTCACTCAGCATAAAATAGCAGCTTAATGCTGCTGTGTTTCGTTTGGTCAGTGTAGAAAACCGGAGTTCATTTTTACTGCAAAAGAGGCATTCCATCTTAATCCTCACGGCTGACAACGCATCAGCATTTTGATTCACAATCGAGGATAGATGTAGATGTTTATGGGCCACAGCAACCACTTACTTTCAGGTGGACTGTGTGCTCGCTTGTCACCCTTATCCTATAAAAAAAAATTACCAAATCAGGTTAACTACAAACTAGTTTCTAAAACTAATTTCTTAAATAATAATTTTATTATTTAAGAAATGTCTTTATAGGAGAGTTTCAGCAGAGGGCGATACTACCAGACTGACGATAATGATGTAGCCAACATGACTATTATTTAACGAAAAAAGATTCGACCTTGAACTCACCATACAAAACACACCAGCATTAAGCGACTATTTCATGGTATTCTTTGAGAGCGTGGTCCTTCCTCAGTTGAACATTTGTGCCGAAACCATAACATAACTAGATTCGTTACCGTCGAAGGTCGAAAATACATGGTAATTACAATATATCCTGGTCATGGTCATGCAGGTTAGTTAAAAACATTTTAATTTCAGCAATTTCCGAAGGGAGAGGTATGGCTCGAGGTGAAATCGGAATGGCAGCAGTGGACCTCAAGCATCCACATCTTGTGCTGTGTCAGTTCAGCGACACCTTGCTTTACACGCATACAATGACAAAAATCAATTATTTTAATCCGGTCGAGGTATAGTATCTAGTTGTTTTGATTACTTTGTATTGCTTTACTTTTTCTTTATTATTTTTTTGATAATACTATACTATAGAGAAAGAATACCCTTGATTACTGATTCAAAATTGTATGATAATTATATTTGAAGTTAGAGATGGCGGTGTACCTAAATCCTAAAATTACGGCGACTTAAGAACCAATCGTTATCGACTGTCTGCCAGGAAAATTCCCCAAAATCTTTTCATATATATATATTTTGTTGAAGTATTTTGTAAAGAAATGGAGTCATAAAAAAGTAATTTGCCAATTAAATACTTGATAATGGCAGAAGTACTAATCGTACGAGTCATGTTTTTTTCTCAGGAACCACAACCTTCAAATATGACATCGCTACCATCGATATCTTGTACATTGTTATATCTCTTTTTATATCATAGTCTTGTTACTTGTTTAATTACTTTTTTAATTAGTCGAGGGATACTCATCCCAATTTACCTGTCCGGTTGTGGTATGGTATACGGGTATGCGACCCCGGCTTCCCTAGCTATTACTGTCCTATCTCTTGCCCACCTGGACGGTAATATCCTACATTTCCTATTTCCCACGCTAACTTACCTTACTCTTCCTTTTCACACCAACTATCCTTCCCCTTTTTCTATTCCTACCCTCCGCCAATCCAACGTCTGCCGCGCGGATGGATGCATGGTTAGGGGCGGGCCTAGGCGTTAGCGTGCCACACTGCCCTGGGACCGGGCGACCCCAGAATTAGGCTAGCCTTACCCTGGCATGCGGGGCTCTAGGGGGGGGGGGGGTCAAACCTTTCCCTCGCTATTCGTGGGAACGCAATGGATAATCGTAAAAATAATTTAATTAACCAAAATGGCGGCGATGTGGTTCGCCAACCATCACGTCTCGTTTCTCGCGGGGGCGAAAAGCGGCCTACGGAGAGCCGCTTTGCTACGTTGAATGTAAGAAGAGGAATGGATGGTAAGGTAGATGAAGTATATCAGATGATGGATGAACGATGCATTGATATTCTGTGCGTGAACGAAACCAAGAGGAAAGGATGTGACACCACGGTTCATGGCCCCTACACGGCATACTGGTCGGGAGTCTCCCAAACCTGCCGAGGCTGTCAGGGAGGTGTGATTCTTTCATCTCGAATGGTTGAATGTGTGATGGAGCATGAATGTGTAAGCCCAAAACTCCTCTGGATTAAGTTAAAAGTCGGACTCACTCGCTTGTTTATCCTCGGGGTCTATGCACCGACGGATCTGCGTGGAGGTGGGTCATTAAAATCCCAACAAGAGAGAGAGAGAGGAATTTTGGGATAGCATGAGAGAGGTCTTGAATAAATGCGGAGAAAATAAACGGATCGTGATGTTAGGGGACTTTAATGGATGGGTTGGAGTAAAGCGTGATGGGTATGAAGGAGTTCTGGGTACGTTTGGGGACGAGAGAGTGAATGACAATGGGAGAAGTCTTCTTGAAGTATGCTTGGAATGGAATCTGTGCGTGGCCAACACAATGTTTGACCACAAAAAGATCCATTTGTATACAAGAGATGAGGGTGAGTCTAGAAGTATGATTGATTTTGTAATTGAAGATGAAAGACTGAGGAAGAAAGTGCTAGACACTCGGGCATACCGCGATGTAGGCCTCGACACAGACCACTTCCTGGTCATAGCCCGAATGCGTGACCTCTTTAAACGGTGGCGACACCGAGGGGCCGAGCCTACGAGTGTTTTGGACAGAGAAAAGTGGAAAATCTACAAGAAAAAGAAAAGAAAGACGAGTATAAAGAGATACTGAACGAAAGTTTTAAAGGGATAGGAGAGATAGGTGTGATTGAAGATTTGTGGGAGACATTTAAGAAAGGGGTCATGAATGTTGCTATTGAGGTATGCGGGGTAGCTAAAAGAAGGAAAGGAAGAAAGAAAATGATAACGTGTGGATGGATAAAGATGTACAAAGGGTTGTGCAAGAAAAGAAGAAAGCGTGGTTGGATTGGTTAGCAACAAAAGCTAATCAAAAAGTTCAAAAGGCAACGGATGACGAGATAAAGGAAGCACGAACGAAGTATAAAAGATTGAAAAGAGCAGCGAAAGAAATTGTATTTAGAAAGAAAGAAGAACGAAAGGATGATTTCGATAGGAGACTCACTGAAGATTTCCAGTCAAACATTAAGTTTTTCTGGAAATCCCTCAAAACAGCCAGACGAAAAACTTCTACCTCGGAGCTGAGTACAATCAGGAGTCAAGATGGGAGCATTATAACAGGAGAAGAAAGTGTGTTAAAGAGATGGAAAGAGTATTTTGAAAGTTTGTTTGAAAGAGAGGAAGTGCAGGTACAGCATCTGCCACCTTCCACGGAAACTAATATAAATGTTGATGAAAATGAGATAAGCATGGATGAAATAGTGAAAGCATTGAAAATTATAAGATTAGGTAAGGCTACAGGGTATGACAGGATTACCGTTGAGATGCTGAGGGCTGGACAGGGCCTGGTGGCTAGACAGCTGTACCGCCTTTTCAATCTGTGCCGGCGAAATGGGCAAGTAGCGGGAGACTGGTGCAAAGTTGTAATCGTGCCATTGTATAAAGGAAAAGGGTCACGGCAGGACTGCATAAATTACCGCGGTATAAGCCTTCTCAGCGTCGTCGATAAATTGTATGCGAAAGTGTTGATTGAAAGGGTTGTGAATGAAACAGACGAAAAAGTATGGGATGCACAAGCGGGATTTAGAAAGGGAATGGGATGTACGGATCAGGTCTTTTCCTTGCGGTGCATCGCCGAAAAGTGTTTGGCTAAAAACAAGAAGGTCTACTGCGCATTCGTGGATCTAGAAAAGGCCTATGATGGAGTGGTGAGGAATGAATTGTGGTCAGCACTGTCCGTGAACGGTGTGAGCAGTATCCTCATACGAGCATTGCAATCTCTTTATAGGGATTCTAGTGTTTGTGTAAGGATAAACGGGGCATACACTGAATGGTTTAATATCGAAAAAGGTGTTAGACAGGGATATGTGTAGCGTCACCGTGGCTGTTTAATCTGTTCATAGACAATTATTGTTTGACAGATTTAAAAGAGAATGAAAGTGGGTTGAGAATGAATGAGTTACTCGTCAAATGTTTTCTCTATGCTGATGACCAAGTATTACTTGCGTCTTCGGCCGAGGAGTTGCAGGAGATGGTAACTGCTATGAGTGGAGCTTTTGTTAGAAAGGGAATGAAGATGAATGTAAGGAAGACGAAAGTGATTGTGTTTGAAAAAGATGAGGCAGTGACAGACTGCAATATTGTGTTGAAGATGAACAAATTGAACAGGTGAAAGAGTTTGTGTATCTGGGTTCAAATTTTATAAAGAGTATGTTAGATGGAAAGTGTGAGAGTGATATCGAAAGAAGAGTGAATGCAGGAAACATGGTGAATGGAGCTTTGCACTCCTTTATAAACAGTCGGAAGGTGTCTAACAAGGCTCGTTTGGCCGTGCATGAGGGGTGTTGGTTCCGACACTTATGTACGGAAGTGAAAGTGGATATGGCAGAAGAAACATGAAACTGAGTGACAGGATAAGAAATAGTGAGATAAGGAAACGTTGTGGTCTGAAAGAAGATGTAGTGACAAAAATTGAGAAAGGTATGCTGAGATGGTTTGGCCATGTCAAGAGAATGAATGAAGAACGATTGACGAAAAAAGTGTATAAGGCGAGAGTAAATGAAAGTGTTGGAAGGGGTAGGCCTACATTTGTAGACCAAATCAGGGACGTCTTGAAAAAAGGCCAGGTCAAGAGTACCCTAAACCGTAGAGCATGTATGAAGGGAATAATGAAACTGGACGAAGCGAAACAAGTATGTAAGGATCGTAGCAAGCGGAAAGAAGTGGTCTCTGTCTACCCCTACGAGAAAGAGGCGTGATTATATGTATGTATGTTACTTTTCAGTTTTCACCTACAGAATAACAGCGCTACACAATATTACGTAGCTTATTGCTCAGTCGGTGGCCTCTTTGTTGCTGCCGTTAGCGTTACTGCCACAGAAAACGAAATAATAGTGCCTTGTTATTTACTGTTCTGTGGTTACAGCCGATCAAAAGGTTCTAAACGTACATCTACCGCTTATATTGCCCCATAGTGAGGATATTTGCAATAGTTGCCACGCTTGACTGTCGGGTTGGCAACCGCAGTTTTCTATATTTATCATCTCCTAGTTTGTTTCTCTCTGTCGCTTCTTACGACACCCACAGGACGATATGGAGTAGTTGACGAATAACTGTTTTTTCTTTCTTCCTACTATTCACAATATATTGTAGAAGCATCTAATGGTTAAGTGTACAATGTACTGACAGTTAAACTAATAAAAAGTCGTGGATTCGAATCCGCCATTCGACTACTGTAGTGAACTACTCTTAAACAAACATGCTAAGTTTACTAGAAGTGGTTAATGGAAATAATAGTAACTTTAAAAGCGTTTCTTTTATTCTTAAAAAACACTTTTTAATTCAATTTTTTTGGGAAATACTATAGTAACGATACAATCACCAAATTTTTGTTTCAAATATCTAGTATAATATGTAACTCGTACCATAAATAATATCGTAATACCATAAACCAGTATTGTTAGTTTGTATTAAGAGGTGTTATTAAAGGTCATTAGTAATACCATCCATAGATAATAGTGCCGCACACGTTCTGCGAGAGCGCACAGCCCAGTCAATTGTACAAATTGATCAAGGATCATTATCCGTTGGTGAATCTAACGACAGTACAAAGGAGACATTTCAACGACGCCGCCGGACGGCAACACATACAAACGCTTTGTGCCCCACAGTACAGTGCCGTTTATTTGCAAGTGTTGCAGAAGTAAGTAACGTCTACATATACAATTAAAATAATTGAACTTGGTGTTAATTTAGCTGATCGTAACGGAGCCGTGGTAGCTCAGGTGTTCTATTTCCGCCGACACCAAGGAAGTTGTTAAATTCAATTTTAAGAACTAATTTATCGCGTGCTTGGCGGTGAAGAAGAACGTAGTTTGAAATTCGTTGACAAAGAATTATTTTTATTCCCGCTTATTTTCGAGCGTAACGCTCGAGCCGATCGGAAAGGACTCGGTCGTCGCCGATTCGAGCCGCTCTGCGCTGGATACGGTAAAGTGGAAGGAGCTGGCACTGGGGAGCCCCAGCCCAGAGATGGGAACAGTATTCCATGTGAGGCCAAACCTGCGCCTTGTAAAGTTGAAGGCGGTTTGCCGGCATGAAATACTATCCCGCTCTGCTGAGCACGCCAAGCAGTTTAGAGGATAATTTGGCCGTCTCTTCCAAGTAACCAAGAAACTGCACGTCTCTCGATATGTCAAAGCCGAGCATTCCGATACTGGCGGAGGCAACAAGGGGAGTACCTTGAAACTGAGGAGATACGACAAAGGGGTTCTTTTTAGCGGTAAACGCGCAAACTTGTGTCTTCTGAGGATTAAACTGGACTGGATTTAGTCGCCCTCAATCCGATACTTTTTTCAGTAAAGACTCGACTTCTGGCACAAGTTTGTTCTAGTACTCGGCGACATTTCCCGAGAAATATTGGCACGGCCGGTGTATAGAGCATAACCAGTATTGGCATCCGCATAGCAATTGATGTTACAGGTTCGCAACATATCATTGAAATGCAGAAGAAACAGCGTTGGTGATAGCACGCAGCCTCGTGAAACACTAGCATTAATAGACTTGTAATCGGAGCATGTACCGTCTACAACGACCTTGATGCTCCGATCTACAAGAAAGCTGGTGATCCAATTGCACAATTTCTCGGGAAGTCCATAGGAAGGGAGGTTCGAAAGAAGCGCTTTGTGCCAAACCCGATCGAAGGCCTTCGCAATGTCCAAACTAACGGCCTTTTTTACATGGGGAAATGCCTACGCATACCTGCCTCGCGGGGACAAGGACGGGTTATATCGGACTCGCACCGACTAAAACCCAAAGGTTTGCCACCTTATATGTGGCAAACATATCGGCAGGGCCACGGGAACGCTTTCGCACACATCCGCAGCCCCACCAGCGCCGGCCGCCCCATGACAGCCCTTTCTTGGGGGAGGACCTCTCCTCCCCATTCTCCTTCTCAGGCAAAGCGCACCAGGAACACAAAGCACGCCCCCCTCCAAGGCCTCCAATTCTACCTGCGTATCGGACCTCCCGAGTCCGATACGCGGAGGCCATGGGGCCACGAAAATCGAGCGCTTAGTAGCACCCCCTTTCCCGACCCCAGCGGTGGATGACTGGTCTCTGGTTCCACCGCCAACCAAGTTTCGGCCGCGGAGGGTAGGGAGAGCGGCGCCTCGCAATACTTGTCAGAGTCGCGGAGGATAGGGCGAGTGGCGCATCGCCATACCAACACTCCTCTTCCTCCACGACTCCACCTCGGCTGCAGCGGTAGGGGGAGAGGACACCCCTCTCACCGCAGCCCATCGTCACACGTCCGAAGTGGGCTATCAAGCCCACTCGAAGTGACCACCTTTTTTTATAGAATTAGGGTGACAAACGAGCACACAGTCCACCTGATGGTAAGTGGTTGCTGTGGCCCATAGACATCTACATCTATCCTCGATTACGTATCAAAATGTAGATGGGTTGTCACCCCTGAGGACTAAGAAGGAATGCGTTGTTTCCAGCAAAAAGGGTCTCCGTTTCTCTACACTCACCATATAAAACACAGCAGCGTTAAGCTGCTACTTTACTCTGGTATTCTGTGAGAGCGTGGTCCTTCTCCGGTCGAGCCGACCCATTCGTGCTACAACTATATCATAAATATAGCTACAGCATGGCTCTACCACGTATAAAAAAACCTCGGGCCGGCCCTACACCACGGGCCAGCCAAGGGGTTCCTCTTTGTTCATCGCGGGTGACCAAACCACGGCTACTAAGCCCCCCCCCCCCCGCCACGACAAGGCGGGTACCCGTTCGGGGGGGAAACTAACGGTCAATGCCTTAGTTTGGACATTATACATGTAAAAAAGGACAGGATTACGCATAAGTATGCGCCCAAGTACAGATACACTCCCTTGTCCCACCCTCTCATAGTCCGGTGGGACGACAATTCGACACGATCGGAGAGAGATCTGGCACAGAGCCAACGACTTCACGTGCTTTATGAGGCTAGGGGATGAAACACTGCCGACTTCCAGACTCCGGACTACTACAAAAATGTCTTCACTTAAAAACCTCAATTGATTTTGGTCCGACCTGGGATTCTAACACGGGATCATATTATCATGATCAGCAGGCACACTTACGGCCACTGAATCAATGATGCAGTTAAGTTTTTCATTTGAAAAAAGCTAATATTACATCGAAGTATGCGACCTTTTAACTTGTATTTGTGTGTATTTTTTATAAACAACTTCAAATATATCAGTTGCATAAGTTGAACATGACGCAATTGAACCCGACACTAGTTAATCTGCGGCGTTCGGAAAATTTTACTGTGTATAAGCTGATGACAGATTTACACTGATTGCGCCAAGTACGTAGTGAAAGTGCTGTGTAATGCTGTAGATATGTTGTGGTCAATGGTCATTAAGTACTATAAGGACTTTGTTAGCGTTGACTCTGAATGACAGGATGAGAAATTATGAGATAAGAGAAAAGTGTGGTTTGCAAAATGTTGTAACCAGAATTAAGAAAGGAATGACTCGGCTTCTTCATGTAGAAAGAATGTGGAGGCGAGTGGTAGGGCCGACCCTGGACGGAAGTTTATCGACCAAATTGGCGATATTTTGAAATGTACCAAATTAAGAGTACTATTAACCGACAAGCATGTGTGCGTAGGTATATGGACGTGAAGGAAGCGAGAGAGGTGTGTCAGGATCATGCCAAATAGAAGTCCGTAACCTCTGCCTATATCTATGTGACAGGCATAAGTGTTTAAGTTATTAAGTTTATACGCCGGTAGCAGCGGCGTAAGATAACCTATCATCCGTATCATCCCGTGGTGGCAAGAGGCGACGGAGGGAAACTGAAAAAGAAGATGTGTAGCAGCATCTCATTGATAACAACTGGTTAAAAAAACTGCAGTTGCTAAAAACTTGCCAAGCGTCCTCCCTATGAGGGATTCTAAAGCGGAGGCCTATGTGCCTGTAATGAATGAATGAACTAATTCTATCAGTGTAAAGTGGCTCTTCTTTATTACCAAAATGTTTAAGTTTCTTTTACAAATGTATTTGAAACTTCCAGATTCTATGCTCTAACGGCAGCGGCAGCCGTACTGAAATATGTTGAATACATACAATGTATTGTCTTTGCCAGGGAATCTTTAAAGATCGAATACCATTCTTCAGAACATACTATGATCATCGGTAATGTGTATTTTTATTTGTCAAGTTTGTCGATATAAGAACAAATAAGTTCTGTTTTATTGTCATGGTCGATTGAGAAATTTTAAGTATAAAAAATCTAATAACATAGTACGGATGATGAAAAATCATTGCAATACTTTCTGACCTAGAATATTTATCTACGATCTATATATTTTTATGTGGCGGTATAAGAATATCCACTACTCCATATCATCCTGTGGGTTCCGTAAGAAGCGACAGGGGGAAACAAATCCGGGATGCAAATGGGCAGCAGCGTCTTCCTAATAACGACTAAAAATAAAAAACTAAGGTATAGGGCAATTTTTTTTATACGTTAGGGTGACAAACGAGCACACAGTCCACCTGATGGTAAGTGGTTGCTGTGACCCATAGACATCTACATCTATCCTCGTTTGCGAATCAAAATGCAGATGCGTTGTCACCCGTGAGGGCTAAGATGGAATGGAGTCTATGGGGGAGGCTTATGTTCAGCAGTGGACTAGTTTAATAGGCTGTAACGGTATATATTTTAGGTTATTGGTAGAATCCGAAGACGTACGATTTTCACTATTCGACTGCTAAGCTTGAATATGCATAACAAATCCTTCCAACCATTGCCGTTTTACAGCTGATTTATTCAACTTTGTATTTAACGATAAATTATTTTACATATATGATCATATGTGCCCAGTGCCCAGTGCGTGTTGCCAGTGATGACATACGGAACTGAGACGTGGTCCTTCACTGCTGGCCGGATGAGGAAGCTCAAGGTCGCTCAGCGAGCTATGGAGAGGGCTATGCTCGGAGTTTCTCTGCGTGATAAACTCAGAAATGAGGATATCCGCAGTAGAACCAGAGTGACCGACATAGCCCAACAGATTAGTAAGCTGAAGTGGCAATGGGCCGGCCATATAGCTCGAAGAACCGACAACCGATGGGGAAGAAAGGTTCTCGAGTGGCAGCCTCGTACCGGCAGGCGAAGTGTAGGGCGTCCCCCCACTAGATGGAGTGACGACCTGGTAAGATATGCAGGAAGTCGATGGATGCAGGTGGCTCAGGACCGTGCTTTGTGGCATTCTTTGGGGGAGGCCTATGTTCAGCAGTGGACTTGTGAAGGGCTGTAATGATGATGATGATGATATGATCGTACAGAATTAGCATTATCTCTATATCTCTATATATAAAATAAAAATCAATGCTGTTCGTTAGTCTCGCTAAAACTCAAAAACGGCTGGACCGATTGTGATGCATTTTTGTGTGTGTGTTTGCCTGGGTCCCTGGACAGTTTAGATTCAGAATTGGACTCTGTAGGTGGCGCTGTTATCAAGATTCAGAACACAACAACATACACACACACAAGAACACGTGTGAAGTCGGAGCGGATCGCTAGTAATAAAATAAAATGTGAAATTATTTATGGAATCTTAATTTATTTTAATATATGTCACAGACGTAGGAACGGCAACTCAACTAGAGCTAGTTCAACCACTAGTCCCATCAGCTGGTCCCACATGTTGCCTACTAGGAGTGTTAGGTCCTACATATACTGTTGGCGGTATACGAGCGCTAAGAGCTGCTATTCTACAGCCTTCTTGTAATAAAGAGTTTATTGAAGCAAGGCTCGACACTGTACAAGAATTAATCGAGAGTGATACTGGCTTGATGGTGGATTTACAGGTAAAATATACAAAATTATACACACTATTTAAAAAGAAATTTATTTTCTACTTTACAAAAGGGGAAGCTTGACTTGAGTTATTTTACTGATGCAATGATATATACGGCTATATATCGGCAAATTGAATAAATCGTAACAAACGCGTACATATATCGCATTTTTGCAAAAGCTCGTTGGTTTATGAAATTATCATAGTCCGATCGTAGACTTGGGTAGATCGTGATGTGCCTGGGTATTTTGTGATACGCCACCATTTCATGATTTGGCCGATATTTTTATAGACTTTATTTACTTTGTCAAAAATATGCAAGCGAGTACTGCATCCAATTTTCGCATGGACATCTGGGTCGAACTTTAAAGAGGTCCTTTTTTAGCTAACTGCATAATTTATGTAAACCTCCCTCTTCGCCATTCCTGGTAAACAAGAGTTCCTTGCGTAATAATAAGAATGTTTGACAAAAATCGCTTCAAGACCTTATCGGCTACCTATTGTACCCTATTATGCACACGGGACATGTATTTGTACGGCCTACAAATACTAGTTCCTGGTCTGGATGTCCATATGTCCCTGTGCAATTGATGTAAGTAAACTGCCTGCACTATACGGAAGACAATCATTTATGTCAAGAAATTCTAGGATATAATTAAAAAACTCTCTGAAATTGACAAGATATTATTTCTATGCATGGAAACGCCAAACACGAACATCGACAAATTTGGCGAGGCGCAACTCAATCAAACATTACTTCTAAAAACGACAATGGAGATGGTACCTAAGCTAGTGGAAGCTCTAAAAACAGCTGAAAGTGGAAAATTAAGAAAAATAAAAATGGTAAATAAAACCTGTTCGGTTTCAATATTTTATAATTGTTGATTTTTGTTGAATTCACATGTATTCATAAGATTCGATAAATTTTCATTCATTTCATTAGCCGTTACATACTTTATTAATTAATTAATTATTATTTATTTGACAGTCCTTGTATGTTAAGTTTGTTAAATCACTTTCGTTAGGAAAATTTTGACTCACAATTGAACCTCGTGATCACCCTTAGAAGATATTTGATATGAACGAACTGAAAGTAGTAGTAGTACAAGCGGATTGGCTTTTGATGTAAATGTCAATGCAATATTAGATCATTTCGGTAAATCGGAAACATAAATAAGCTTACTTCTTCTTTTCTTCTCACGAACTGAATGACGCACAGCGAGAAGCCCGCGTATAAAATACTGTATCGGCTTAGAGGGGAAGGAATTTTAAGTCTAACTTTAAAGTGTAACTGATTGTTTAACTGCCGAATACGCTTTGGCAAAATTAGCAGAGCTAATCCTTCCTCGTCCACCATATTCTCAAGACCTTGACCCAACAGATTTTCGAGGTTTCGATAACTTTTTGATAGACAAAAATGTTTAATCCGAAGAAGGAGTAAAGAACCCCTTTAAAGAGTTTATCGATTCTCGTGCAGCAGGCTTCCATAGCAAGGGTAACAGCAAACTGCACATAAAAGGCAAAATGTATTTATTTTTTTCATTCATTCATTACAGCCCTTCACAAGTCCACTGCTGAACATAGGCCTCCCCCAAAGAATGCCACAAAACACGGTCCTGAGCCACCTGCATCCATCGACTTCCTGCATGTCTTACCAGGTCGTCACTCCATCTCGTGGGGGGACGCCCTACACTTCGCCTACCGGTACGAGGCTGCCACTCGAGAACCTTTCTTCCCCATCGGTTGTCGGTTCTTCGAGCTATATGGCCGGCCCACTGCCACTTCAGCTTACTAATCCGTTGGGCTATGTCGGTCACTCTGGTTCTACTGCGGATATCCTCATTCCTAAGTTTATCACGCAGAGAAACTCCGAGCATAGCCCTCTCCATAGCTCGCTGAGCGACCTTGAGCTTCCTCATACGGCCAGCAGTGAAGGACCACGTCTCAGTTCCGTAAGTCATCACTGGCAACACGCACTGGTTGTACAATTTCGTTTTAAGGTTTTGAGGTATGTCTGACGAGAAGATGTGTCGTAGCTTCCCGAACGCTGCCCAGCCGAGTTGAATCCGTCGATTGACCTCTCGGTCGAAGTTGGACTTACCCAGTCGGACTATTTGTCCCAGGTAAACATACTCGTCAACAACTTCGAGCTTAGTGTTCCCAACAACTATCGGCATAGGTGTGACATGGACATTAAACATGATCTTAGTTTTGTCCATGTTCATCTTAAGACCTATCCGTTGGGAAACACTATTGAGGTCATTGAGCATAGTGCTTAGGTCCTCCAGCGATTCTGCCATAAGGACTATATCGTCGGCAAATCGAAGGTGAGTGATGTACTCGCCATTGATGTTGATACCGTATCCTTTCCAGTCCAGAAGCTTGAAAACGTCTTCCAATGCAGCGGTGAAGAGTTTCGGGGATATGACGTCACCCTGTCTTACACCTCTCTGCAATTGGATAGGTTTCGTACTCTGGTTCTGTACTCGGATAGCCATCGTAGCCCTACTGTACAAGCACTTCAACACTTCGATATACCGACAGTCAACTTGGCACCGCTGAAGGGACTGCAGCACCGCCCAAATTTCGACGGAATCAAAGGCTTTCTCATAGTCCACATACGCCAGACATAGTGGCAAATTGTACTCTTCGGACTTCTGTACAACTTGCCTAAGGGTATGTATGTGGTCTATGGTGCTAAAGCCCTTTCGGAAACCGGCTTGTTCGGGAGGCTGGAACTCGTCAAGTCTGCGCGCGAGACGATTCGTAATGACTCTCGAAAACAGCACGTAGACGCGGCTCAGAAGGGAAATCGGTCTGTAGTTCTTCAAGAGAGCGTTGTCACCTTTCTTGAAGAACAAGACCACCGCACTTCTGCTCCACGCCTCCGGTGTAATGCCACCATGGAGGACGGAATTAAAGAGCTTCTGAAGGACTTCAAGTACCGGTCTTCCACCCGCTTTCAGAAGCTCCGCTGTAATTCCATCCTCGCCTGGGGCCTTACCGTTTTTAAGGTGCTGGAGAGCCATCCTAATCTCGCTCAGACTGACATCCGGGATATCTTCGGAATAGTGTCGGATGAGACTCGCTCTTGGATCGTTACTCACACTTGCGTGTGGCTCCAACGATGATGTGTACAGCTGCCCATAGAACCTCTCAATCTCACTCAAAATCTCAGGTGTCCCGGAAACGATGCTGCCACATTCTGTCTTCAGCTTTGACAGTTGGCTCTTTCTGGCAGACAGATCTCTGGCAAAGACTTTGGAGCCTTGGTTCCGCTCGATCGCTTCTTCAATACGAGCTGTATTGAAGTTGCGTAAGTCCCGCCGCATGCATTTGGAGATCTGTCTGTTCAGATGCCTGTATGCTGTCAAGTCTGTTGAAGAATGTAGCTTCATCTCCCGTCTAACAGCCATGAGATTAAGAGTGTGATCGGAGAGTTTTTGTGTTCTTCTGCGGCGGGTCTTGCAGAACTTAGCTCCAACCGCATGGACAGTTTCCACGAGCTTATCATTCATATCGTCCACTTCATTGCAGTCTTCTAGGCACTGAAAACGGTTTTGTAACTCGAGCTGAAAGGTTTCGGGACTTTGAAACAGAGCACGAGGGGGACGGAGCGTTGACTTCATTAGACGAGACCTCTCCAACTTAACGTTTAGGTTCAGTGTGCCTCTAACCATTCGGTGATCGCTACCAGTTTTCACCCTCGCGATCACGGAGACATCACTGAACAGTTGTCGTCTGGTCGTCATAATGAAGTCAATCTCATTTTTTGTGGAACCGTCGGGGCTCGACCAGGTCCACTTCCTGTGGGGCCGCTTCTGGAAGAAAGAGTTCATCATAAAGAGTCCCTCTTTCTCCATGAAGTCGGCCAGCTGCTGGCCCCTTGGGTTCCGTTGCCCTATTCCAAATTTCCCTACTTTCAGCTCACCGTTCTCTCTTGTGCCTAATTTTGCATTGAAGTCTCCCATTAACACCGTATATTGGGTTTTGGAGGAATGCATGGCTCTAGAGATATCCTCATACATTTCCTCCACCTCCTCATCGGGGTGTGCCGAGGTTGGTGCGTAAACCTGTATGACCTTCAGCGAATACCGTTTGGTGATTCTGAGTATAAGGTACGCAACCCTCGTCGACACACTCCCGATTTTTACAACGTTGTTAACGAGAGACTTGTGGACGATAAATCCGACACCTCCTTGGGACAGATGGTCGCCCTCCCGGTGATAGAGCAAGTTGCCGGATTCGAGGATTACCGTGTCCTCCCCCTCTCTTCGGACTTCAGATAATCCTATAATATGCCAGCGCAACTTGTCTATCTCTTCTTCCAGCTCCACGATCTTCTCATCAGTCCTCAGGGTGCGTGCGTTGTACGTTGCCAGGTCGAGTCGTCTAAGGTGGCAACCGAACCTCCACCGGAGATTCTTAGCACCCCCTGCCCCGCCGTTACCATGGTCGCCACCGTAGCCAGGAATAGCGGGGCCGCCGGGGACTGGGGGCCGTTTTTTTGTTGCTCTCATCATTGGGGGGTATTTGCCATAGTTGCCACGCTTGGCGAGCGGGTTGGCAACCGCAGTTTTTTTATTGTCATTTGGCTATTATCAGGAAGATGCTGCTGCCCATCTCCTGGCTGTTTCCCTTTGTCGCCTTTTACGACACCCACGGGAGGATATGGGGTAGTGGATATTCTTGACCGCCACTACACGGCAAATGTATTTATAGTTTAAATAAATATGTTGATCAGTTTAGGTTTTTTGTGAAAAGAAAACTTTTCACAAAAAAAAACCTTAACTAATCAAATATCAAATAATGCTTTCCCAAACTGACGCACTCTCCTCTGTGTCCTCACGCACTCTCCTCTGTGTGCGATTCAATCATGAAGCTAATACAAAGGGAAGACGGCATAAGCAACTGTGCACTGTGATTCTAAGTAGGTCCCCACGTCATCATAGTGGGCGTGGATTTAGTTAGTATACTGCACAGAGTATATATATATACTTTCAGTATATATAAAAGTATATACTGAAAGTATACTGTCAGCATTTGTCCTGTGCGCTTATGTGTTGAAAAAATCGCAAATCGGTGTATTTTCGTAGTATTAAGAAGAAAAGGATGAAGTGTTGTGTTTTATTGTGTAAAAACTACTCAGATAAACGCTCTGATGTTATGGATGGCATCACATTTCATTTGTAAATATTTTTACACCTAATTTATTAAAATAGTTCTAGAAAAATCTCTTTACGTCGGCTTTCAAATATAATTAAATATATTCGACACTAGATGGCGACACTTTGTGTCATGTGAACTAAAAATATAAAGGTCCGTAGAGCTCAGTATTGGTAAAATAATCATACGAAGGTGCTGAAATTTGTTTTGCAGACATAAAGAAATTTTAATCGCAAAATATTATTTTTATAGTTTATAATCATTTTGAGAACAGGCCGTATTCTCGTCAAGTAAACCTCATAAAAATGACAAAAAGACAGGGCCCTAATTAGAATTCAATTATTTTTCCCAGTAATCCAACTTTTAATATTAAATGCAGGACATTGTACTTAGGCTGATTTTTACGAAATGTTTAAGTTATATTTAAGTGACATTCATATAGCAAAGAATATTATAACATTTTGTGGACATGCCGCCATCTACCGTCAAGGTAGCTAAGCTACATTGCAACATCGATATGGAAAGATTCGAGTAGTTTTACTATTTATCGGTAGATGTAGATAGTGTAGTGGGCGGGGCTTTGCATCCCTTCACCCCGCAAATTGTCACGCGTTGTTACATAGTGAAATTTAATTACAACGTCTCCTCTTTGTATTTGCTTCATGGATTCAATTCACAACATTTTTGCCGACCGGTCGACACTTACGAATGTGTGCGTACATAGTAAAATAGTAGGCGTTAAATATGTATGAATGACAATCAGTTAAAATAATTGCTTACCATGCATTTTGAATTTAAAAGTTAAAAAGGACAGAAGTTTTGAGACTTTTTTGATTATTTTTTTCTTCACCATTTGCCTGTTACTTATTCTGAACCTTCTCTGCAAATTTGGTGGGTTATTGCTAAATAACCCATTAGAGTATCTCTTATTAGAGTATACATATAATATAATATAGTTTAAAATTACTAGGAATTCGAGAATCCAAATTACAATGAAATAGCTGAACGTATTCGTAAAATAATCCAAGACGATGCGCATTTGGAGAAAGGTGCAATGGGTAGCTTACAAAGATGCTTCGCTGTGAAACCGGAAATAAATGGTCTTCTAGATGTTGCTAGAAGGACTTACTCGGAATTGATAGAAGATATACAGAAGATAGTGGAACAGCTCAGCGAGAGTTATGACTTGCCGATAAGACTAAACCAAAACGTTACGAAAGGTTTCCACATTGTGTTACCAGTTGCGCCAAAAAACAGAAGAAATTACAACGTTGAAGACTTACCAGATATATTTATTCAGGTAATTTCAATAATTTTGAATACTAATTACTAATTTTTTACTTGACTATTGAATAATCAAGTTACAAATAAATAAGTACACAAACACATGTATATATAGGGTTATTTTGCAATAACCGGCCAAATTTGCAGAGATAGTTCAGAATAAGTAACAGGCAAGGTGAAGAAAAACTAATTAAACAAAATATCAAACATTCTGTTCTTTTTATATTTTAAATTCAAAATGCATGGTAATGCATTATTTTAATTGATTTTACTGTGCACACACACATTCGTAAGGATTAATTGGTAGGCAAAAAGTTGTTGCCCGTAAATCACTTTAAATTTGAGATAATTTTAAATAAAAGTAGAAGCCCTATTTACTCGTATTTTCAAAAACTGCAATAACGGTATATCATGTTTTATATATTTGAACTTAAGTTTAAAATTAGGCTACTCTTTGAAAAATAACCCTGTATAGTTACATACATACACTACTCACAAACTTAAAAGAAAGACAAATACAAAAAATACGCCCGAAAAAGTAACAAATCTTCACTTAGTGAGTGATCATCATAATATTAGAGGGACTTTCAACCGACTACAAGAAAAGGAGGAGGTTCTCAATTCGACTGTATTTTCTACTGACTTCAAACAGATGAGAGACACATATTCAACTCGACTGTATGTTTTTTTATGTGTGTTACCTCAGAACTTTTTTCTAGGTAAACCGATTTTGGCGATTTTTCTCATCTCATCGTAGAACAATTTTAAGGAGCTCTTTGATGGTGAAAGAAGTCTTGAAGTTAAAGAGGCTCTTCTTGATCTATTCAAACATAACTTTGTTCTGATAGAGATGTTATTTTGCATAAAACCATTTACTTTATCATATAAGTATAAGATCTATGTGGCGGTAGTATTATGGCAGTAATTCGAATAGTTGTCTCGACTGGGCAAAGATCACGCTCGAAGAGAATACCAACGTGAGTGAGTGACAGAACCAGTGATCTCTTTTACTGACAACGATTCTGCATTTTATCTGCATTTTGGTTATTGTAGTGTTTCTATTGTGATTTAATAGTATTGCTTGTGTAATTATAACAAGGTGCACTTCAACGGTACTAGTGTGTCAATGACTACTGAAGAACTCGTGGTTCTTGATCAACAGGCTAAGGAGTCGCTCAATGAAATACAGAAAATGAGTAATATGTGAGTTATGAGCTTGTGAGTTAACATTAATTTATTTAAAAAAAATTACTGACATATAAATGTAGGAATTTTTCTTGTATTTAGAAGACGTTTTACATAAGAAAATTCCTCTTTTAAAAATATCCAATCTGGGTAAGGTAAATTATATGTAGATCATACAAAAATTGTAGTTCCGTGCGGGTTTGAAAGTTCGCTGGCCGCAGCTTAGCTACTGGAGCCGAGCTGTCATTTATTAGCCGTATAGATATCGTACTTTATGGTATATATGATAGATTGCTGCTGTTGGTTGACAGATTGGCAACGGTAGTATATAATTACAGTGCCATGGAAACATAAACATGCAGTCAAATCTACCTACTTTTTTTTAAATTGCAACAGAGGACTACTATGCAGAAGAATTTTGATATCATCTTAATAATTTATGTTTTGAGTTTTTGCTGATCAGGAAATTATAAAATTTATTCAAAAAGTACAAAATAATTGGTCATGGTATAATATGTTTGGCGCCTGATATATCATTAGGATGTTCTTTTTTCGATTAGATAATAATTTAGTTTGAGTAGGCGTCTGTATGTTTGCACGTAACACGTAAATTCTGTATGAAATTTGTTAATATCATGATCGTTGTGATAGAAATAAACCCCTTTTTTAGTCCTTTTTTATTTTAAAAATTATATATTATAACACGTTAGTTAAATTAATTTATATTACATATATTAGTAAATAAAAAGTACCTTAATTTTTTCAGAGTTATTTCAGAGTTACTTAAAGAATTGCGTCCTTTTATGTCAAGCCTTTACAAACTCTGCGAAAATGTCGCTGAATTAGACATTTTATTAGCCTTGGCGCAAGTATGTTTACTTTATTAAAAATATTTTCGATAACGTAACTATTTTTGTAACTTTAAGGAACAAATAAAACGTTTCAGGCAAGCTCTATAGGTTCGTACATAAGGCCGCAATTCAACAGCTACTTGGACGTGAGAAACTGCGTGCATCCTCTATTGGACTACAATAGTCAAACGATGCCGGTGCCTAACGATGTAGTAAGTAACTTATTTCGCTGATTATTCTTCATAGTTAAATAAACCTGGTTTTTACAGATTTTATCGCGTATATTAACTTATTATATATTCCCGACGTTTCGAGTACTTTACAGCACCCATAGTCACGGGGGGACTGAGGTGTTCAACGTCCCAATGTCATAGTTAACCACTACTAACTCCAGATTAAAAATATTAATTTTTCTTCATAGTAAATCCTACATTTATTTACATAACATTAAAATATACAATTTTTATTACCATTTATCATATCATTACAGCCTATAAAAGTCCACTGCTGAACATAATCGTCCCTTATAGATTGCCTCATACGGGGGATTATGCCATAGTTGCCACGCTTGGCGGGCAGGTTGGCAATCGCAGTTTTTTATAATTTTTAGTTGTTATTAGGAAGACTCTGCTGCTCATCTCCTGGTTCGTTTTCCTCTGTCACCTCTTACGACACCTACGTGACATGGGGTATTGGACATTCTTACACCGCCACTACACGGCCAATATTTTCACAATATTTATTGCCATAATAAAAACTAAAACTAAATAAATGTCATAGAGCCCTACTCCCCGCGTTATAATATCAAGAACGCTGCTTGCGATTCCTAGCTGAATGACTGTTTCTACCCTTTAAGCAAAAAACGAAGCAGGCTTCTTATCACTTCTATTCTTCTATCAGCTAGCTTAATCTGCTATATATATTCTAGATTACACCGATTAAACGCTGGGTAATAAATACTACCTACGACATTAAATATATACCTAATTCGGATTTCATACTTGTAGTAGTATCTATTATTTATTCTGTGGTTATATCTCAAATCTTAGTCCACTTCCGTTTTAAGTTATTTTTAACATACCCTCAACATATAATGAGGGTTTTCTACTTTATTGTGGAGGCATTATACAAGCATAAATTGGACAGTATAGTATTGAGGCTCTTTTAACAGTTTATTTCCCAGTACGAAAAACTTCTGAAAAATAACAAGTAATCCCAAAACCTACATTCAATGCTCTTTAAAATAATATCAGTAGGACTGTATGATAATTTAAGTTCGTTTTAGTTTTTTTTTTGTTTACTCATTATAATTTTTTAATATTGTGTAAATAATATACATTACAATATATAATGGGGCTTCTGCTACATGTAAAAGGCATTCATTTTTCAAAACTGAATAATTCTCCTATTGCACATGCCAAAGATTCTACCCGCGGCCCCGTAGCAGTGGCATTACAATAGGGTGGCAGGCCGAGCAAAATGCCACGGGCCACTAGCTGGAAGAGGCCCCCGGCCCGAGAGGGCCGTAAGTACAGGAGCATCTTAACATTTACAATTACAACACTTAGTAAAATTTATTATGGCTCAATTAAATTTAAGTCCTTTTAAATATATAGATTAAATACATAAAATTTAGTCCAGAAAAAGTTAAGCTACTAGAATTTCAACTAATTATAATATCGTCTTATGTACCTACTTAACGTTGTGATTTATTATAAAATAAAATAAAAAAAACAACGGTTGAGCTTCTTTATATCGGGTGGGAGACGACCCCATCCGATTAATTTGCCACTAACCTCTTACTGTATAGCGCTACTGCCCCATAGCGCTTCATCCAAACGCTTATCCACTGACGCATATATTGAGCAGTTATTTTAATATTATACACAAATAAGCCAATGGGCCGGCCGTATAGCTCGAAAAACCGACAACCGATTGGGTAGCAGGGTCTAGAACCTTTGTGGCAGTCTCGTGTCATCAAGGGCAGTGTAGGACGGCCTCCCATTAGATGTAGTAACGACCTGGTAAACCATGCAGGAACTTGACAGATGCAGGATGCTCAGGTATTATGCTTAGCGGTAGATATTACTAGGGGAGGTCTGTTCAGTAGTGTACTTGTGAAAGCATGTAATGATGATGATGATGATACAAATAAGATGTTTATTTGACTTTAAGAAACTATCACGTATATACAATAATATTTTACATAGAAAAGGTTTCTTTAACCTGCTCTCAAAAAATGAATCAATTGAGTCAATTATAAAACGTAGTGATAATGTACTCTGTTGTTAGATAGGAAATTAAATGGATAAGAATATTCAGATTTTAGCACATATTTTATTTTTGCTAAAATTGTTTTAGTTTGCAATGGTATTGTATACTCAACCTTCCGTATCAGCCAAAAATTTTCCCACTACTGTACACAGGCCTCTCATATCTGAAATCATATGAAGTAAAAGAGTCCGTGTTCTCCTTCCATACTTCCTTGAAATATATAACCTTTTTGTAAAAGTTGCCTCACGTTTTTCTACCTCCACTGCAGGACGTGCAGGTAGAGGACGAATTTAGTTTGCTTGTATATTATGAGAACACCCGATTGCTGTGCCAGCACGGCTCCACTGAACCTTGTTCTCTATCTCCCACAATCAATCATTACATCTGTACAACATCTGTTTGTCATAGTCATCTTCATGTAGCGTATTATAATTAAACAGCATTATATAAATATAATAAAAACTGATATATTTTAGTTTGCGAGCCCTGAATACAACTTTACAATAATTACCGGACCTAATATGGGAGGCAAAAGCATTTACATTAAACAGATTGCTATTATGCAGATCATGGCGCAGGTAAGTATTATATTTTTTTATAGAATAGTGATGGCAAGCGAGCATACAGTCCACCTAATGGTAAGTGGATACTGTGGCCTGTCGCCCATAGACAAATACATCTCCTCTACATCCTCGATTATGCAGATGTGCTGTCACCACTGAGAGGTGTACACTCACCATACGAAACTCAACAGTACTAACCTACTACTATATAACCTATTTTACACAGGTATTCTATTCATCCCCGTTCGAGTAGGCTCATTCGTCCTACAACCATAATACAGCTGCAGCGTGGCTCTTTGGGCCACAGATTTTAATATAACAGGTGTTACACATTCACAATAATTTAAGCGAATTTAAAAAAAAATATTATGATATATTTCCTTCAGTTGTAAGTATAGGTATAACTGCACCGTTATAGGAACAGCTGTAACGTCTGTACGAACGTAGTTGTTAAAATGGTTTCTCGTGAATCGGTTAATTGTAATGTTTCCTTGTAATTATTATGATAGTTTTAATTTTACCAACAAAATTTTACCAAAATTATATTAAATAATTTGCAATCTCGTACTATTAAGAAGGATCTCTGTATGCATGACTTTCTTTTTAAAAATATACAGGGTTATTTTGCAATAACCGGCAAAATTTGCAAAGAAGATACACCATAAGTAATACAAGCAAATGGAGAAAAAAATAATTTAAAAAAATCTATAACATTTTGTCCTTATCTTTTAAATTAAAAATGTGGCATTTTAACTGATTTCACTGAGCACGCACACATGCGTAAGGGTCGATCGGTAGGCAAAAACGTTGTTGTCCATAAATAACATTCAATTTGGGATAATCTATACATATAATAAAACTGTAAATAGCAGATGTCTGTACATTTAATATTTTTGTAATAAAAGTGATTGAGGGGTACTAAAAATAAGTAATTAAATACATTTCTACCATTTTTAGAATTTTCTGTCTGTCTGTCTGTCTGTCTGTCTGTCTGTTTGTTTGTTAACGTATCACGTATAAAGTACTAATTTATATCATAAGAATTGTTAAGGAAATTATAAAGTGTATCTTCGGGTTACATTTAGTCTTTATTTCATTAAAATCAGTTCATTCCATCAAAAGTTATGATAAATATTCTGAAGTATGGGTAGGGAAGTATAGGTACGAATTGCTCAACGGTGGCTTTGTTTGAGTCATCAAGTGCATTTTAAACTAATATCATATCATAAATCATAGTTAAATTATGTAAAATAATGATATAATTATGTATATCTAAAACGCAGTAAACAAAAGTAATAAAGAACGTATTAAATATATTATACAAAAATATATTAACGTTATTAACTAAATCTGAAGCACAATAGTTAACCCATTTCTTCGATAGATGGTGATGTTGTGAAAATGCAATGCAATGTTTTATTAAAATTGGTTAATTCTATCGAAAGTAATGATTATTATTTTGAAATGTAGGTTCGAATTTGTTCAATGGCGCCATAAAATCTCAGAAATAGTAATAAAAAGATTTCTGTGTAAAAAAAACGTTCCATAATAATTAATATATTTATACTTAAAACACAAAAAGAGATAGGATGTTTTCTCACACAAAGGACGTAATAGATGGAGTTGTACAAATTACAAACTTTTCTGAATTGCTGTGTTGAGATTTTTCGCCGATGTATCGTATCGTAGATGACGCCTTGACACATATGAGTATTGGTATTGTAAAGTTTGTAATATGTAGTATATTGTAATTTGTATTGTATAGCCAATATTATTTGTAAATTATGCGTTTCTTTTTTATGTTATTTGTGATGCTGTCATTTTGGAGAATAAACCTTTCTTTCTTTCTTTCTTTCTTTCTTTCTTTCTATTGAGACTTACTGAAGAAATTTGTATCCATCGAAGCCATACAACGGAACCCGACCAAAAATAAAAATTTCGCAACGAAATGTCGTGATATTGTATTTATAATATACGCAAAATCAGAACTGCCATTTTAGCGCTTTGGGAACTAGATTTAGCACTTTTTTGGAATGTATAGCGCGCATTTCGAAATTTTAGCACCTAGCGCTTAATCCAGCGCTTTCTGGTGTATTTAGCACACATTTCAATATTTTAGCGACTAGCGGGTTATTAACTCTTTTATAGCAGCACTGTTAGTCCACATTACCGATAATAATAATAATGACCTTTATTATTTTTTCCCACAAATAGTACATTGCAGTTTATCTTTTTCAAACATATTTTTTCCACAAAACAAAGAGCATGGGAGACGAGTCCAAACTAGGATACCCTGTGCTATGGATCTCCTGGCTTCCCCTTTAGGATGATCAACTTGATTTTTTTACCGACGACTATAAGCGGGGAAATCCCCTTTATTAAAGTTTTCGTTCATGGTTTTGGCAACGCATTTATTTTGCTTTATTCAGTTTCAGTCAGTTGCTTAGAGCACAGCTAAGTTAAAAGTTACTTAGAAGTTATAACACAAAGAAACTGTGTAGCAACCGCAATCAGATGCTGACATCTGAAACTAAGTTGCGAAATACATTGCACTTTAAAACAATTAATGACATTTTTATTGTTCGTACAGTACTAACTACTGTTGACAGCAATTGCTATAATTATAAGTCGATGTCCTGCGAAGTATTGATACATCAAAAAAATATTGCCAGAAAAAAAACTTAATGTTGTTTTCTTTATTATGATTATATAAAAATACACAAACTTTGTTTGTAGTTAATTTAGCGCGAAATCTAGGGCTTTTTTAAAGCGCTGTTTTCATGAAATCTAGCGCTTTTTGTGTTGTCCTAAAGCTGAATGAGTTTTTTTTTTATCTGGCAGCACTGCCCAAAAACCCTCTATAAAGAAGTAACTTTCCTTTCAGTTTTAAGCGCGTTCAGTTCCCAGTTACAGTGAGTTTATGTTATGCGATGACCGTAAATAAAGCGCAAGGTCAAACTTTACGCGTTGTAGGAGTGTACCTCAGTACTGACTGTTTTGCACATGGCCAACTCTATGTTGCTTTTTCCCGCGTTAGTAGCCCCCATAACCTTTTTGTGTACACACCGGCTAAGCCTACTTCTAACGTCGTTTACACAGAAGCTCTATCATAAACGACTTAGAACTTTGATGATAATGATTTATTTAGTTACCACTTATTGATACAGTAATGAAATAAATCGTTTAATATTCTCTTACCTAAACGACAAATTCTTTATGTAAAACCTGTATACGCGAGCTACGCCGCGGGCACAGCTAGTTTCAAATAAAATTAGAAGCTGGTTTTCACGGTGGTAGAGCCACGCGGCAGCTGTTGCTGCTGCACGTATGGGCCGGCTCGCGCCGGATTAGTACCACGACCTCACAGATTACCGGCGTGAAGTGTATGTTCTGCTTCTGCGTTTCGTCTGGTGAATGCAGGTAGCCGGACTCTCATCCGGACAGATATCAGGTCTCCCTCGACGCCTCTCTTGGCTCCTCGGACCATTGTCTAGTCCGGAATGTGGTAGCACTCACGCTGAAATTGCGCTTGCTCTCTGCACGCTGCCGCCGTGTTTGGCACTATAGGTCGGCCGATTGGGATGGAATGCGGTATTTCTTAGCATCCTACCCTTGGGGGCGAGTTTGCTTCTCACCGGACGATCCCAACGTTGTTGATAATTCTGTTGCTGATGCTGGTACTTCAGGGTATGGAACTTTTTATTTCTTCCTCTGTGGTGCTCATCGGAGGCAGATCTCAGCCATGGTTTAGTCGCTCTTGTAAAATAGCCTCACGCTACAAACAGGAGTGCTACCGGGCCTAGTCCCGGGATGTAAACACCAGCGCCCTTAAAAAGATGTATAATTCCGCCTCCAGGTTCTTCAAAAGAGTCATTGCCAAGGCAAAGTCAGAGGACATAGGCAGAATTGGCAAGAAACTAGTTCGCCTTCCTTCGGGAATCCGTGCATTCTGTTCTCTCGCCAAAACTGTCCAAGGTAACTTCTGTCAGCCATCTTTTCCATCTCTGCACAGAGAGGACGACTCACTGGCCCATGCCGCAAAGGAGAAAGCTGATGTGCTGGGCTCTTTCTTTGCGTCCAACTCGACTGTCAATGACGGGAAGAACACACCGCCGACGATCCCGCGGTGGGAGTGTTCCATGCCAGTTGTGCGGTTCTCACAGCGCTCGGTTCACAAAGCATTCCTCTCCCTGGACACAAGTCGAGAGGGTCTGACGGAATCCCCCCAATAGTGCTAAGAACGTCTGCTCCAGAGTTGGGACCGGTTTTAACGCGTCTTTGCCGGTACTCGTACTGCCTAGGCGTAGTCCCGAAATCATGGAAGACGACTTTTGTCCACCCGATCCCTAAAAAAGGCAACCGCTCAGACCAGTGTAAAAGGTGATGGCAATATCTTCTCGATAAGTTGGAGCGCCTTCTCAACAATTGCATTAGGTTCATTTTCGGCTTACGTAAGTATGACCATGTTTCTCAGTACCGTTCTAAGCTTAAATGGCTTTCTATTCGTCAAAGGCGTAGCCCTCGAATTTTACAAGTACTATATTCAATTTTAAATGACCCAAATTCTCCTTCTTATCTTAAGGATAACTTTCAGTACCAATATTCTACTCATGATAGAGTTCCCCGTTCCCAAAATAGTCTTAAAATTCGTATTCCACCACATAAGAGTGGTTTCTTTAATTCCTCTTTTACTGTGCAGTCCATACTGCTCTGGAATGCTTTGCCTGTTCATATAAAAAAACCAGTAACAAACAATATTTTAAAAGACTTGTTCGAGAATTCTTTTACAAGAATAATACCACCTGATTTATCCGATTTTTGTTTTTCTCACTCTTTCGCTTTGTAATTGATATTTTGTATAATATGTATTTTGATATGCATCATGTTATTTTATTTTTGTGTTATATTATTTTATATTTATTTAGAGATTTTGTATATATATGTATATTATATCCGTTTATATTTTGCATATATAAGTATGTTTTATCCGTTTATATATTTACTATTAATTTTTTTCCGTTTATTACTAAGTAGATAATATTAAGTTTGTATAGTTTAAAAATATTTTATTTATTTGCTTTTTGTTATAAGATATAATGTTTTTACTTATTTTTTAATTAATGAGTGGTGTTGCACCTACCACAGCTTCTCAAATCATCCAGGGTTGACTGGTAGAGAATGCCACAAGGCATTAAGTCCGCCCTTTATATCCCTTATTATAAGGTAGATGTAAAAAAGAATAAATAAATAAATAAATAAATAGGCCTGTAACCTATCACCATCACCCCCTTGTTCTCCAAAATAATGGAATCCATTATAAACTGCCAGCTCGCGGTACCTTGAGGATCACCAGCTGATTAGTGACCGCCAATATGGTTTTCGTCGGGTTCGATCAGCTGGTGATCTTCTGGTCTACCTGACTCATAGATGGGCGGAGGCAGTAGAGTCCAAGAGGGAGGCATTGGCCGTTGGTTTGGACATTGCGAAGGCCTTCGATCGAGTTTGGCACAATGCGCTAATTTTGAAGCTCCCTTCCTATGGGCTTCCCGAGAAATTGCGAAATTGAATCACCAGCTTTCTTGCAGATCGGAGCATCAAGGTCGTTGTAGACGGTGCATGCTCCGACTACAAGCCTATTAACGCTGGTGTTCCACAAGGCTGCGTACTATCACCAACGCTGTTTCTTCTGCATATCAATATGTTGCTAACTGTAATATTCATTGCTATACGGATGACAGCACTAGTGATGCTCTATACACCGGCCGTGCCAATATTTCTCGGGAAAACGTCTCCGAGTACCGGAACAAACTTGTGTCTGAAGTCGAGTCTTTGCTGAACAAAGTCTCGGATTGGGGGCGACTAAATTTAGTCCAGTTTAATCCTCGGAAGACACAAATTTGCGCGTTTACCGCTAAAAAGAACCCCTTTGTCGTATCTCCTCAGTTTCAAGGCACTCCCCTTCTTGCCTCAGCCAGTATCGGAATCCTTGGCGTCGACCTATCGAATAGCGTGCAGTTTCGTGGTCACTTGGAAGGGAAGGCCAAATTGGCCTCTAAAAAGCTTGGCGTGCTCAGCAGAGTGGGACAGTATTTCATGCCGGCACACCGCCTGCAACTTTATCAGGTGCAGGTTTGGCCTCAAATTGAATATTGTTCCCATCTCTGAGCAGGGGCTCCCCAGTGCCAGCTCCTTCCACTTAACCGCATCCAGCGCGGAGCGGCTCGAATCGTTGACGACCGAGTCCTTTCCGATCGGCTCGATTCACTGGAGCTGCGAAGATATATTGCATCCCTTTGCATTTTCTTTAGTATTTACCACGGTGAGTGCTCTGAGGAATTGTTCGGATTAATCCCAGCCGCCAAATTTCACGAACGCATATCGCGGCAGAACTCCCGATACCATCCACACCATCTGGATGTTTGGCGGTCCACCACTTTACGTTTCAGTAGGAGTTTTCTTCCGCGTACGACCTCTCTGTGGAATAGCTTACCACCGGCGATTTTTCCGGACCGATACGACTTAGGCACCTTCAAGAAAAGCGCTTACTCCTTTTTAAAAGGCCGGCAATGCCCTTGGTGTTGCAGTTGTTCATGGGCGGCGGTAGTCACTTCCATCGGGTGAGCCATATGCTCGTTTGCCCCCTCTCCTATAAAAAAGCCTTATTTACTCGTATTTTTGAACAATGCAATAACGTTATATCATTGACGGCTCCGTGGCGCAGTGGCTTAGCAATGAGTTGTTGCGCTGGGGGCCGCGGGTTCGAATCCCGCACGGAACAAGTATTTGTATGGCCTACAAATAATTGTTCCGGTCTGTAAATTGTCCTCGTGCAATCTATGTTTGTAAACTGCCTCCACGATACAGGAGAAAATTCTAGTGTTTAACGTTTTTAAAAAAAAGAAAAAGAATTAATTTATATTTGAATTTAAGTTTAAATTTTGGCTACTCTTTAAGAAATAACCCTTTATATACCTTCTTCGACGACCTTTAGTCCCATAAAAAATCCTTGCATTCGTAATAAAAACTATTGAAGGTCACTTATCTGGATAAAAACTATCCTATCTCTCAAGTTGTACCAAACTGTACACAGTATGCTAAATTTCATTGAAATCAGTTCAGTAGTTAGGAATTGTTCACGAACAAAAAATATGACACGTATTATTTATATATAACCATATATTATATAAATGTTCTCATTTTAGCTGGGATGTTTCCTACCGGCAACGAATGCGGTCTTAAGACTTTGCGACCGTATATTTTCTAGAATAGGATTCAATGATAGCGTTGAACTAAATGCCTCTACATACGTCTACGAGGTATGTCGACGTTTACAATTTTTATTTTAATATATGATTTATTATATTAATTACTAACTACTCCCTGCGACTCCGCCCGTATAAAATTTATTACGATTGGATTTCTTTTTCTAAAATAAAAGTAGCCTAAGTAACTCTTTATAACATCAGCTATCTGCCAATAAGTCCCGTCAAAATCGGTCCAGCCACTTCGGAGATCAGCTGAAACAAACAAAATTGAAGTGTCTGTTTGTAATGTCAAAATAGCAGCTTTTTCGGTACATATGGCAAAAAAAATTAGAATTTTTGTCTGTCTCTCTAAATGTTTGTTCCAGACGATCTCCTGTCTACATAGGTGTGTTTAATTAGCTTAAAACCAAATTTACAACTTTTACAAAAACTTTTCACAAAAAGCCAAATCGTCTGTCATATAGAATTTTTATTGTTTACAGATGAAGGAAACTCAACACATTCTAAAAGGGTTGACAACATCCAGTCTTGTTATTATTGATGAATTGTGCAGGTAAATTGAAATTATTAAAAAAAAAAAAAACATTAGCCAAAAATTAATTATTTGTAAATAATATGTACGATATATGTTTTTTTAGCATTGTTTAGAACAGCCTTTGTAGAAAAATCTCTTTTTATTCTACTTGGTTACAATTTGTGTGTGCATAAATTAATAATAAACGTAATTTTGTTATTTATCTCAGAGGAACTTGTTCGGAAGGAGGCACAAGCATGGCCTGGGCTATTTGCGAGGAATTGATAAATAGCGAAGCGTTCACATTTTTCACTACACACTTTTTGATTTTAACGAGACTGCAAGAATTATACTATAACGTAGTCAAGTAAGATTTGTGCAACTTATTTTAAATCTCACTCTAAGTATAACTGTTTGCGTTACTTACTTGCAAAGGAAAGAGTTTGCTAATTTCAGCAGCAACAAACATATTTACAGAAATAAAATTAAGACCAAAGTGATAAAAAATATAAATATATATTTTTATCACTTTGGTTTTAAGCCAACTTCCACCTGATGGCTCTTAAGGCTTTTAACCGAATTCAGTAAAAGAAAGCTACAGATACGTTACCGCTTCTCTGGTAAAAAATAGTAGGTATCACAGCCTGTAGTCTTTCTGGCTCAGACCACTGTCAAGAAAGACATAGGTGATTAAATAAATAAAGAGAAATTGTGGTACCTAGCCACACGGACACAAGTCGAAGGAGTACCTACTATTAAAGATGGAGTTAGAATTAACATAACTCTGCAAGCCGATTTCGTATAAGGACGACGAACTATTCTTTCCAATATCGAACTCACCTACATGCGTTGATGGACGAACGAGGTTTTGAATTCAAGTATAGTGGTCTTCTTTGCTCTAACTACAAAGAACCTTAATTGCTTATTGAGTATACAACAATAATAACAAGATCCTGACCGATACATGGTAACAACAACCTTTTTTTATAGAGTAGGGGGCAAACGAGCATGCGGCTCACCTGTTGGTAAGTGTTGATCGCCGCCCATAACCAACTGTAACACCAGGGGGTCTTTTACGTATGTATGTAGCGTGACATTATGCGTACGTGCTTCGTAAGCTACTCATGATTAAGACAACTAAGTATTATATATAATATAGTATTTGAACACTTGCGGCACTGTAAATTTGTCTAGGAAGTTTACCTTCCGACGGTAGAATTTCAAAGTTCGCGCTGTAGTCGGCCAGGTACATCATGATCATCAGCCCCCGATCGTCGTGCATGACGACTGACGGCTGATTTTTTATAAGTTTAGAGCCACGTTGCAGCTTTATTATTTTTTAGCACGAATGGGTCGGTTAGGCCGAGGAAGGATGACATTCTCTCAAAACACCAGCGTAAAATAGCAGCTTAATGCTGCTGCGTTTCTTATGGTGAGCGTAAGGAATTGAAGACCTTTTTTACTGGACACGAAGGTATTCTAGCTTAGTCCTCAGATGTGACAATGCATCGGCATTTTGATTCTTAATCGAGGATGCGTGCTCGTTTGTCAACCATAATCTACAAAAAAATATTTCGTTTTGTCGGCAGCCGCCACACATTAGTGACCGAAGAAGTTGCAGGAAAAGATAATACAGAACGAAAGCTGATTTATCACCATAAAATCGAACCAGGAGTTACGAAAATTGAACATTACGGCTTAGGTCTAGCTGCTAAAACAAATTTACCCGAAGAAACTGTAAAGCTTGCTTGGGAAATAGCTAAATTGATTGTGAAAAATAAAACGGTAAAATAATTTAAGAAATTCTTCTCGATACAGTTTTTTACAAAAACAATTATCACCGAAACTTACGATTTTAATGAAAATTTTCAAAAGTGAAATTCTTACACCTACGAACATATAACATACATACATTGTTAAATCGATTAAGCTGTTGAGTCGAATTGTGTCCATGTGACGAATTTATAACGATTAAACTGTTATCGATTTACTAGTTTTCCCCATCGGTCGGACGTTTTGGAGCACTCAACTATTATAATTACTCCTAATAATTACAACTTCCACGAGAAATAAGAAGGTACTCGCTTGTGCTTTGCATTACATAATGCGTAATAAACAAAATTGTTAAAAAAGAATATATGTGATTTTAGTGGCTCTAGTGAACAAAAAAATAATCGCGGTTCGACTGTATAGTCGAGTATATGTGCCTCCCAATACATGTCAAGTCAAAGTCAAAATCTTTATTTGCAGAATAAAATGTTTAGGTTATACAGGTATTTAGTATAAGAGTAAGTCTCAATCATATTCTACCGGTAGTTGTACCGTTGTGCAAATATATCTTAAAATAATCAAATTTAATTGTACATATATGTCAAAAGCTTAAAAAAATTATATACTACATTAAATAATATTGAAATTAATTAAAATATTCCTTAACACTATAATAACACTTGTCAAGAAGCCATTTATTAATCTTAATTTTGAATTTATTTAAAGGCATTTTTTTTTAAGTTTTTGGGTAATTTATTATATATTTTAATAGCCATCATAGGAGCATTGTTTGCATAAAATCTAGAATTGCATTTGGGATGAAATAATCTATTTTTATGCCTTGTTTGCCTTTCGAGAGATACAGCGTGGGTTTTGAAGTAGTTCGGGTAACAAAAATACATATTTCTCGAATATACATGCATGGCAACTTTTTCGTTCAATTTTTTTGAACAATGGCTTGCAGCTATCAAGAAACCACGCACCACATATCGCTCGCACACATTTCTTTTGTAATTTAAACGCTCTAATCACATCAACAGAATTTCCCCACAAAGGCAGAGCATATAATTGTACTGAAGACACATAGCCGTGATAAGCAGCTAGGGCTGCTTTTTGTGATATTGTTTTTCTCAATCTTTTTAAAGAATATACAAACTGGTTTAATTTTGTACAAACCTGGTCAATGTGAGGCTTCCAGTTTAAATTTTTGACAGTTTTTATACCTAATGAATTGTTACCAGACTTATTTGTATTATTAATGTTACTTAGGTCAATAAAAAAATTGTTAAATAATTCACATATCATGTCAGGGTTATCTACTAATTGTTTGGTCATTAAATTTAATTACGTCAATTTTATTAATTTGGGTAGTTTCATTTATACTTGAATTTACTGAATTCCAAACAGCTTTGCAAGTATTTTTACTATTAAGAATGTATTTTAAGTTGGTTTTTTGTTGAGCTTTATATATGCACTTTTTCAAAAGATAGTAATATTTTTCGTATTTATTTTTATTTAACATTTTATTAGTTTTTGAGTATTTATAGGTTAGGTAAAGTTTTCTTTTCGTAATACTTGACTTTTTTATACCTTTTGTTTTCCACCTACCTCTATTACACATGTTGTTTCTCGTAAGCTTAATTATAGGAAAGCAAAGTTCATAAAATAGAGTTAACAAGTTATGGAATGATGTATAGGCCTCATCAACACTGGTCTGATCGTACACTTCCGACAAAAAGAGAGACGCGATAGACAGTCAAAAAACTTTTGAATGTTTTCTTTAATGTAGTCATGGTAACAAGCTAACAGGCAACTAATTTAAAGTTGATAGTATGCGGACATCCATATACTCCCATAGACTTTTCATATAAAACCCTACAATTTTATGATAAAAATTGTATAGTTTTTACTTATTATAAGCCGGTGCTTGACCATAATCCCACCTGGTAGTAAGTGGTGATGAAGCCTTAAATGGTAAATCGCACTGTCTTAGCGCAAAAAAGCTTATTCACTCTTGCCTTGAAGATGCCCAGATTATACTCGGACGGAAAGACAAACGCCGGCAAAGAATTCCAATCCTTTGTTGTACGCATTACAAACGATGAAGTAAGCCGATTGGTTGTAATGGAGTGAACAAAGGAGTGAAGAAACCCGCCGACACTCTGGTTGTCCGATGGTGTAAAGGAGAGGGAGGAATCAAAGCTAGTAATTCCTGTGCATACTCTTCGAAATGCATCTTATAGAATACCGAGAGGCTGGCTACTTTGCGCCTGTGTTCGAGGCTTACAAGATTAGTTTCAACCAAATCAAGGTTACCAATGAGCCTCTTAGCGCGTCCCTCCACTGAGACCGACGCTGCATGTATGCACCTAATCTCTACACAAAGTTATTTGATGGAGTCAGAAGTCATCATGCATACATGCAAAGCCGGTAAGTCCTTGAGTTTAAAAACCAATACTTGTTCAATCTGACACAGTTTTTACTTAAGCTGAACATTGAACACGCAAAAACACATGTTATTGTATGTCGTAGTTCACACAAATACAGCTTTTTAAAAAAGCTGTAAATGACTGGGATATAAACTAAAATTATTTCCTTTTTGCAGCCATATTCTACGACAATTGTAGAAAAGAGTGACGAAGAACTTCTTTACAAGCTTCATGCGGATATTAAATTGGAGATGTGGAAAAACTTCAACGCAAGGGAGAAAATAAAAGAAATTATTTATAAATTTAAAATGGACAACCCACAATTAATCGAAAGAATTAAATCACAAAAAAATAGATCTATTGTTTCATCTGACTCTCCTGTTGAATTTTCTTCTGAAAGTAATGTAACTAAAAAACAAGTAGTTACTGAGGATCTGAGTACAAAAAATGTCGAAACTATCATCGAAGGAAAAACTACACCTAGAAGTCGAAAAACACAAAATATGTATTTACCTCAAGCCTCTACTTTGCCACAAAAACTTACAACAACCGAAAGTTATAAAAACATTGAAGATGATAGCTACGCTACTGTTAAGCTATCAACCGAATTATTAAATACGTTTCCAAACAGAAAAGGCCATTTCGATGCTAAAGAAGTTATTTCTCAGAGCATAACAACAGAAATAAATTATAATTATTCACCTCATTTAAGTAAAAAAGAACCTAGAAGATATGAAAACAGTGTTTCAACGAATGAAAATGATAAGAGCGCCAGCAATGTTCAGATTGATTATGTTAATGTATTACATCAAGAATACAGTAATACTGGTGATATTGGAACCATAAATGGTAATTTACATACAATGCACGTGGGAGATGAATCGAGATCGGAAAATGAAATAAATTCAAAGGATGAGGATTCAGTTGATAACAACATAGATGTAGCAGACGCATTAACACAGATAGTTGAAGAATATTCTATTTCGTCTCGTTCTAGTTCACGTTCTAGTCTCGTTGAAGATAGTAACAATATTTCTTTAGAAGAATTAATGCAAGAAACTATTGAAGATATCCACAAAGATTTAGAAGGAATTGACGATATAGAAAGTGTTATTCTAACGCCACCGCTAAGTTTTCGTGATTCCAATAATTAAAATTATAGGTATAATAAATTTTATAAAAGTTTTTTTTTATTCATTTATTACAGCTTTTTAGCGCTTAGCGAGTTTAATACTGAGCATAGGCCACCCACTGCATCCACCGACTTCCTGTATGTTTCATTAGCTTGTGATTATCTAGTGGGGGTAGGGATCGCTCTATTTGGTTGGTGGAGGAGCCACAGACCAGATTCACCGCTGTGGTCAGGAAAGCAGGTGCTTCCGAGTGCTCGCTTTTTCCTGGACCCATGGCCACCGCGTATCGGACTCGGGCGTCCATCGCGCAGGTAGAGTAAGAGCGGCTGGCACCGGGGAAACCGCAGATATGTGCGAAACCGTTCCCGTGGTCCCGCCAATATCCGGCGAAGGAGAAACACCATGGGGTTTTAGTCCGACATAGGGTAAACAGTACTAATGTTGGCACTCCTACAATGATTAGCACTTTGCTATTTTAATCTAAATATAAAGAATGTTTTCCTTTTTCTATATCACAGCTACACAGATATTGCTAAGATATATAATTACTTATACTAACAATACATATTTATATTTAAAGCATCAACTATTTTCCTATAAGGGCTGTTTTAAAAATGTGTGCGGACAAATCCGTTAAAATTTAACAAAAAGTTAAGGTTACGTGGCTGGATTTTGAGACAAAATTGTGATTTTTAGGTAAGTTTATATGCAAGTTTCTGTCTATTTTAATCAATTAACGTCATTAAAGCATATTAAACGTTATTTTATCGTTGTGAAATAGAAGCATCGGTTTTTTTAATTGTGCCAATGACTATACTTTACTTTGTTTGACTACATAATCATTGGCATATATTATGTCAATCACTATACTTTCTTTCTTTTGTCCAAAATCTATTCTTGACACTGCCAATGACTATATCCTTTGAGTAGTGCCAATGATTATGACTGAACTTTTTCACATTTTGAATTGATGGAGAATACTGTTATTAAGAGAGGGCGCTTTAGAAAAATAACTGCCGCGCTAACATTTAACATTCCACGCACATTAACAATTTACAGTTCCCACTAAATAAGTAAAGTAAAAAAAAAAACTAGCAAGCTGAAAAGCCGACCTGGTACTGGCACAGTTTTCGATGTCATAAAAATGTCAATGATGTGAGGGTTTTGAATAAATACCCCACCCATAAATACATACTAAACCGTTTTATAGAGGGAGAATAAAACGTCTATGAGGTGGATCATACCTAATCGAAATCTCGCATCACTGTTCTTTGGAGTAGACGGTAAAACCTATTATTTTCCCCCTATAGAAAATGTGATCAGACGTTCAAAAGTTAGTGCCTAGAGAGAGGGTTATTTACTATCTTAAATACGGCGCAACTTTGCCCAAGTCTCGCCATAATACTCAAAGCCCTTAACTTGAATGCAACGCGACTATTGCAATCAGCTGATATCACTGCATTTCGGCCCACCAAAGATATGTGGCGTAAAGCTGTCTTTGAATGACGGACAAACAATTTGACAAAAAGGTTACTAAAAGAGATGTGGGCCTATATTAGCAAGACTTTTACCGTATTGAAATAAATCTACATTATGAAATGGTTTTGAGACATGTGGGTTGTGCCCATTTAGTCCAGACAAAGTGGATTAAACAAAGTGTCCGGTGCCCTCGAAATCACAGCAAGCCATTTTAGATGATCACCGTTCCTTGCCATTACGCTGAATTACCTAATATTTTAAGAACAACGACTAATAACGACTGAATCAGAAACGACTGTATCAAATTTGCCTTGTATCCTTTCACTTAATAATGATTTATCAGTACCAGAGCGTATACAACCTGCAGAGATTATTGTTGAGTATTAGAAAGAAAACTAACCCTTATGTTTTTCATCAACTAGGCAGCAAATTTAGAATGTGTTGGAGGTGAATGGGTGATTGTGGATGTCGAAATAAACTAAAATCTTTTAGAAAGCCCTAGAAATATTTATAAAGTTTTTTCCATTGCCAAATACGTATCAAAAAGCAAAAGGCAGATAAACAACGCCGTTATTTTGTGCTAACAAGTGAAAATTCGGAAGCAGCGGAGCTAAAAAAATAATAGAAAAATGGGGCACAAATGGAAAATGCAGAATTGAATTAGTCAGCCAAATATAGAAACAAACTGACAAACAAAACAAGAAGAACGAAGCCAAAAACTCTGACATTATAATACTCTCTAAATGTTTAATCTAAAATACCGAAATAAAGTTCTATTTCTAGATAATATCGAGAAAATACGAAAGGTTTTACTAAAAAAGTCACATCAAAAATGTATACGAAGAAAGAAAAAACATGGTAGACAAACGAAACCGCTTTCAGATGAAGATCTAAGGAGAATTTTTGAAGATAAGTGTTTTGTTCAAAATAAGTGTTATAACAATAAGATGGAGCTTAGAAAGATCTGGGTATAACTTTTTAAGACTTCCAATGGTGCCAATGATTATTGTTCATTCACTATGCTAAAGTGCCAATGATTGTAACATTCCCTAGAAAAAAGTTTAATTAGATTTTTAACTTAATTAAACATTTCTTTTTAAACACTGCGTTATTTTATTTATGGCTATCTAAACTAAAATCCAACAAAACAATAAAAAATATAACAAATTTGTTTATTTACGAGAATTAACCCCTTACAAGTAGAAATCCGCTTAAAGTGCCAATCATTATACTGCTTACCCTATCACGTCTTTGACCCTGCGAGGTGGGTATGCGTAGGCATTTTCCCTTGTAGAAAACTGTGGGTGATTTAGACTCCTTCAAATGATATTATATAAGTTGATGATTGTACATGATTCGTGTAATGTTATATTTTCTCGAGATTAATTTTTTTTTATAGGATAAGGGTGACAAACGAGCACACAGTCCACCTGTTGGTAAGTGATTGCTGCGGCCCATAGACATCTACATCTATCCTCTATTCCAAATCAAAAAGTAGATGCGTTGTCACCCGTGAGGACTAAGATGGAATGCATCATTTCCAGTAAAAAGGGCCTCCGGCCACCTGCACTCACCAAGCGAAACGCAGAGGTAAACCTCTACTTCACGCTGGTATTCTGTGAGGTCGTGGTACTACCCCGGTTCGAGCCGGCCCATCCGTGCGACAGCAAAAGCTGCTGCGTGGCTCTACCACTGTTAAAAATACGAACTTACTACAAAAATACGGATCGTTGGCCGTTCCCTAGGCAACGTGTTTAGCCCGGCATGAATTTCCTTTCTTCCTTCCACGGCCAAAAGAGTAATTACCTTCACTCTACACATATATACAGTGGTGGTCACATAATCAAAGACACTAAATGGATATTAAAACAACAAATTTATCTTCCCTTTATTTGCTTGCTGAAATTTAATACGAGCTAGAAACAATATTAAAATCATTCGGACATTAATTGTGTAATGTTGGAATTAAACATTGAAAATAAACCCGTGTCCCGAATATTTATTCAGTTTAACAACATTTAGACCACCATGACCTAAGCAAAGAATTGGCCAACTAATTAAAGACGCACAAACTAAGTAATTATAAAAAAATATTGTAAATATTGAAATCAACTTTATTTTGATAAATTTAAGACATCTTATAAAAACAAAAAACCGCGTTATTAATATTTCGTCACGTGTCTTTTAGCAGCAATAACAGCCCGCCATCGCCTTGGCATTGATTCGATCAATTTATTGCAAGTTTCAATTGAAATTTGTACCCATGCTTCTTTAAATGCCGCATAAAGTTGGTGTACCTTAGTGGTACGTTTTGATGCCACCATTTTCTTGACGCGGTACCACATGTTTTCAATGGGGTTGATGTCAGGGCTGTACGGTGGCCAATCTAACACAGTTACTGACTGGCTCCTTAATAATAATAATAATCTTTATTTGCATAAAACATGGTAAATATAGATACAGATGTTTTAGTTGTATTGTGCTCTCATGTTTTGCTATTTTAATATGACATAGCATGGAATTCTTTGACAACTTTTGCTGTGTGTTTCGGGTCATTGTTGTGTTGGAAAGTCCAAACCACCGGCAATGTTTTCTTCAGCATAGATATCATGAGTTCCTCTAAAATATTCTTGTACTGGAATTTATCCATGTTCCCTTCTATTTTCTTGATAGTTCCTATACCGTGACCAGAAAAACAACCCCAAATTTTTGCCTCCACGTTTTACTGTTTTCTTCGTTTACTTCGGATCCATTCCTTTTTTAGGAGGACGTCTCACATACATTTTTCCATCAGAAGTAATCATATTAATTTTCGTTTCATCAGAAAAAAGTACATTTTTCCACTCACGTTCTGTCCAGTGTTCATGTTTTTTGGCAAACACTAATCTAGCTTGGATGTTTTCCTTCTTTAATAGTGGCACCTTACGAAATATTCTTCCGAATAAGTTTGCTTCACACAATCGCCTTCTTATCGTTTTTGCAGATACTCCTCTCAATCTTTCCTCGCCAAATATTTCTGAGCGAATCGGTTCTGATCCTTTAATCGGTTCCCTTTTTGCTAGTGTTGCCCAAAATCGGTCTTGGTCTTGCAGTCTTGGTCTTGTTCTTGCATTTTTGCAAGACCAAGACCAAGAACAAGACTGCCTCTTTTTAGCAAGACCAAGACCAAGACTGACCGTGCAAGATTTGCGCAAGAACAAGACTAAGCTTGCGAGACTCTTGCGTCTTGCAGTTAGGACTAAGTATCGTTTCAGGGAGTATAGGAGTTCGGGTATACGCTTAGGGACTCTATGAGACGCAAAAAAATATAATGTAAAAAAAATTGGAAAATTGGACTTATGCGCATTACGAACAATACCATAAACATACATAGCGAATGAAAATATCCATTAAAAGAAAAAAGAGTGCATTCCTAGTTTTGACCATCGGCACTTTGATAGTGCGCGGCGTCTTGTCGGCGTCATCAAAGGTCGGATACTGACCTGTCAAAGAAATTGTGCAGCTATTCGAAAGTCAAAAACAAGGTCAAGATACACGTGCCG